TTCATTGTGAAGTGGTACAATGCTGTACTTTATGGGAGAGTTTAAGGGATTTTTTATTGGTAATTTTCCCCAGATAGAGTTTTTACTTGCAAACTGATTTGTGATGATAGTGTTATATTTTGGAGCCCTTAATCTTTGTGCTCTCTTATAAAATTACTAGTAGCCCTGCTCATGAATCCATTTGCCAGTGGGATTCTGTGGGGCCTGGCTGCTCCACGCCTGCTGCCCAGAGGCACTCCGTGGCCCAGAGGCCTATCCATTTCGAAACCCCGGTTGCAAAATGCTTCCTTCATTGCCAGGGTGACAACAGCTAGGGTGAGCTTGCCTTGTCACCATGGCGATGAAGCAAGCGTTCTGCCAGGCTGCTTATGCTGCCCCTCTCTCCTCCCCACCCAACTAGGGGACTCCAGGGGGACTGAGAAGACTGGGCACTGCCATATTGTGGCTATGGGTGCTGCCATCTTTGTGATGGAGTGATGGTTAATTTGCATATTACTCTTTTATTAGATAGGATATTTTGTGTGTGTGTGTGTGTGTGTGTGTGTGTGTGTGCGCGTGCTTATGTCCTATCTAATGCAACAAAATCATAAACTTATTGAGTGTGAGGAGTTTGTTTTATATTTATTTTAAATTTTCCTTCTAATACTTAGGCCATAGTACTTATTTAATAATTAAGTGCCACATCTATAATAATATAAGTGTAATATGCTAAGTAGACTGGTTGTCCTTCTGGATGAAGCCGGGGCTGCGAAGGAAGCCCAGGTCCCAGGTGCCTGCCAGTGGCCAGAGGGAAGCCCAGGTCTTGGGTGCCAGAGGGAAGCCAGTGCTAGCAGTTGGGGGAAGGAAGGCCTAATCTTGCATGAATTCCATGCATCAGGCCTCTAATAGTAAATAATGATATATGGTAATGTTAATATACAAAACAGCATATTGTTATATGCATAAATATGTTATATATTAATATCAATATATAAAATAATATATGGATATTATCAGTACAATGTCAAAATATCTATATAAGCATATTATATTTACATATGTGACTTATTTGAAACATTGTGCAGCCTATATGAAGTTAAACTATAACAGCTGTCATAATTGGGAGATATAACACACTTTTTCCATGAGTACCATGAGGCTTTCATATTGTAAATTACCTTTGTGTTTTGGGTCTTCAGAAAAAACAGAGCTGGTCAATAAAGTGATAAAAACAGATTTCATTCAGGAATTTATAGGGGAAAACAGGTTTCAGTACAGAACTGGACTTATTTCCTCTATAGTATGGGCAAGCGGGAATTCATATAGGCAAGGAGCAGGGTGAAGGCCAGTGGATGGAAAATTATTAAGGGGAAACATCAGAACTAAGAGAGGAATTCTGCTAAACTGACATGATGGGATTCTTGCTAAAACTGAGTGATTCAAAGATGAACATGGTATCCCCAAAGTCAAAGATTCATTGGGAAGAGAGCCCGACTAAACATTGGTCAAGGAAAGAGTTTTTGTCTGAGGTACTGTGGACATCCAATGTTTATCTGGGTGTATCCTGATAATTTGTGTTTTAAATGTAAGATAACACAATTTGAGTTTTTGTTATTTGAGAGTTCGTGCCTATATCTTTATTTGTGAATGTGTGGTTGTGTGTGTTTTACCATGATTTCAATTGAGGGTAGTCTTTCCTACGTGTTTGGTGATGAGAAACAATTATTCTCTTGGGTTGTTTCCTGATTCCCACATATTTGCAATGTAAAGTTTTCAGGGAATCCCATCATTTTGTTATTCGGTGCAGGATCTTCATGCTCCAGCATTCTGTGATCTGGCCACTCAGTGTATATCCTATATAATAAAAAGGCTAATATGCAAATCGTTCCATCCAGCAGGAGTTCAACCAGCAGGGAGGCTGGCCAACTGCCTATGTTTCCTCCCCCTGGCCAGACTGGCTGGACCCCACCCATGCACAAATTCATGCACTGGGCCTCTAATATACATATATATACGCACACTGAGTGGCCAGATTATTATGCATTCAGAGATCATAATAATCAGGCCACTCAGTGTAGAGTGCACTCTGACTGATATCGACATGCTTGGTGATAAACTATCAGGAACACTGAAATGCAGGAAAATTTTTCAGGAATCTCCCCCATTTGTCAGGGAAAATTTGAAACACATTGAAAAAGGCAGAAAATATTCCCGGGTGTCATGTATTGCACAGTTCTGAAGGTTCAGTTTCTATAGGGGCCTGCTTCTTTCCTTTTCTTTGAGCTATTTTACAACACTGTGAGGTATAAGAAACCAATAGGAATACAAATTACTCTTGTCCATAGAAATGAAAAGACATTTTACCCTTTGGAATGTAATTGATTATTATGCTGTGGATATTTACCAGATCAGCATCTCTAAGTCAATTCAGTTCACTTTCTGGATTGCCTATTTATGTGTGTTTGAATTCTTCTTTGAACTGGTGGTACCTTCTTACTGATCTACGTGCTAATGAATGATTTATATAAAATCTTTGAAATGCAGTAACTTTATATTTGTATGAGAAATTTTTTTTTTTACTTTCTTTTAAGTATTATCACCCAGAAAAATTCTATTTCCAGGGATCTGTTCAAGTACTCAATGTTTACTGGACTTCTTGCCTCCAGAACTGTGAAAAGATACATTTTTATTATCGCAAGTGGCTAAGTGTGTGGTAATTAGGTGCAGCAGCCACAGAAAACTCAATACAGAAACAGAGAGAAATCGAATCATTTCCCTCTTCTCTGTACGCTTGTATCTTTTTGAATATAAGATATCTTTATAATTACTATTAGACTTCTACAGCCATTAGGCTTTTACATTAGAAACTGTCCTGTTTTAAAACAGTAACCTTTTATTTGAAGCATAATGGCATTATGTAAACTGAAAATGCTTGTAAATAAACAGAAGGCTTGACTTCTGCTCTCGGCTATGCTCCTTATTAGCTGGGTATCTCTGGGTAAATTATTTACTCAGAGTTTCATTTGTACAATGAGAGTAATATGAACTCTTCTTCCTAAACCACATAATCGTTATTGGTATTTAATGATGTAAGAATATATGAAAAATAGCAGATAAATAATGTAAATGCAAGACTCTTTAATGCTTAACAAGTATGCTCTCCCTAGTTATGATGAGCAGTTTTGCACATAAATCACTGACTACATCAAACATTTTTCTCCCCTTAAGTTAGATGCTAGGAGTGAGATTTTGGGTTCAAAAGTTTGAACACTTTAAAGCCCTGGATTCATATAAACAAACTTCTCTCCAGAAAGCCTGTACCACTTTGCTCTCTCATTGGAAGCACACAAATGCTTATTTTATTATAGTTACACTAGAGAGTTTTGAAAAAAATATTTTAAATGTTGTACCAACTTGATGAACATTATTATTTGCATTTCTTTGACAAGTTTAACATTTTTTTTGTGTGTATTCCTTGACCATTTGTATTGTTCTTTAATAAATTGCTTGAGTTCATTGACTATATTTCTAAATAGTATTTGCCCTTTTCCTTAATGATTTTTAGAAACCCAGTATTCTTAAGCTAATGAACCTTGGCTTTGTGTTATTCCTTCACCAGTTTGTTGTTGTTTACTGTTACTTCAGTTTATGACTTTTATGTTCAATAATTGTATGTAGTCAAATTCAGTGAGCTTCTCATTTTATCTTACGTATATGCAGAAATTGAAGCAGGGGAAACAGAAACCCAGGTGGTTTGTCCTTACCACATCACCACTAGCTCTTTGCTCTCTATCCTCCTCTCTATCCCTATTGTTGTTAGTAATTCTATCATTGATCAAACGCTAACTCAGTGCAGCCCAACATGCCTGACATGTTACATGCATTATCTCAGTTAATTTCCACAATAACCATACAAGATAGCAAATATGATTATTCTAACTTTACTAATGAGAAAAATCAATGCTTTGAGAGGTCAGTAACTTGCCCAATATCATATAGGTAGCATGTGGAGGAATGGGCTGTGAATCTCAGTACCCATTTCTTAACTGGTGTTCTTGCCATGTGGATAGACACACACAACCAAGATAACTCCCTGCCTCCTGCACCTGATTTCTTGAGTGGGGGTGTGACTTGACATTTCTTTTCTCTCCTGTCCTGTTACAGTAAAGGAGGAAAATAGGGTGGGTGAAGCAAAAGAACAACAGCCAAGCTATTGAATTGAATTAATAGAATATTGAACTGAAAATATTTTGGGGAGGACTTAGAACTTCTCTCATTTTTCAAATGCTCCAATAGCATTTTGTCCCTGTTCCTCTAAGCTTAGGCATCTCACGTGTGTAATGTTCTCTGACCAATGGAGGGCACTGTGAAAATTTCAAAGCAACCTTAGGCCAGAGACAAGTGGATTGGTCTTAATATGGCAATTATTATGAATGTTTATTTTATAGCCTGTAATTGATGACAGCATGCTGTGGTGTGTGTGTATGGAGCCTGGGAGAGCTGCTTGAAAAATTGGTAGACTTTTACTAGCATTTGGATGATTAATTATTATGCCTTTGTTAAATTTTAAACAGAGCAAGAATTGGGAGTGATTCTCTTATTTCTTTCTTTGAAAAACTTGGGGCAGTGACAGCATCCAATTTCCTAGTGTTATTTTGCTCTAATATGCCTATTTATCAATTATTTAGAGCTCTCAAAACCTGCTAAAGAAATGGGGAAATGTGCTGTAGCCTCTTTAGGGTGGGTGAGACTAAAAGGTCAGTGACGCACTTGAGAGCATTGACTATCCTGTCCCTTCTCACTTCCTTAGTGCCCAATTAGTGCCTGGCATGGTGCATTTTTTAAATTAAAAACACACACATGAGAAACAACTACTTGGTGTGGCTTGAGTGGGGGAAGAAGGAGAGTTAACCAGAGGGTGAAGTTTGGAGTCAGGCTTGTATGTTTGGGGGTGATGAAGAAAGCACTGTTGTCCCTTTGAAAGCGGCTCTAACAAAGGCTTATTTTGTAATTGTTTGCAGAAAGATTACCACTTTGAATATACGGAATGTGATAGCAGTGGCTCCAGGTGGAGAGTTGCCATTCCGAATTCTGCAGTGGACTGCTCTGGCCTGCCTGACCCAGTGAGGGGCAAAGAATGCAGTATGTTTCACTTTTTGACCATTTTTTTTCCTGATTAAACCATTCCTCCTTCATATCAGTTGATTGTAATGTCTGTGAGACCTGTGAAAAAAGAAAAAAGAACATGTAGCATTGATGTCTAGCAGAGCAAAATCATCCTTTTTTTTTTTTAACACATGCAATAGTAAAGAATATTAATTTATAATGTGCTGTACATTATATCCCTGGAGCTAATATATTGTATAACTAGAAGTTTGTTTTTCTTATTACCCTTCTCATTTTTCACCCATCCTCTACTCCCTTTTCTCTGGCAATCATCATTTTGTTCATTCTCCATAACTATGAGTCTGCTTCTGTTTTTTTTTGTTTTGTTTTTTTGTTGTTTTTTAGATTCCACATATAAATGAAATCTTATGATGTTTGTCTTTCTCTGTTTGACTTATTTATTGGTAAGAATGTGGAGAAATGTTGTACTGTTCTGTGTACTTGAAATTCTGGAGGGCAGGGTGGCAGAATTTCTCTTTAATAGATTTCTGTTTTTAAATTTCTAAAAAGTTTTAAAATGTTTGGTAAATTACACATAATATAAAATTTACCATCTTAACCATTTTAAAGTACACAGTCCAGAGGCATGAAGTACGTTTACCATCAAATATCCACAGAACTCTTTCGTCTAGCAATGGATTTCTTGTTTGTAGCCATAGAAATAATGTAACTTTCCTTATTACTATAACCTACAGAGAGATTGTAGAATTGATGATGGTCATATTCAATAGCTTGCCTTTTAGCAATTAAGCAGGTTTGAAGTACAACATTACAAATTAACAGAGAAAATAGATTAACATTTAGTTTAAATTATAAACTCTACTTTTTAAATCTTTAATTTTTTAGAGTCACAAGTTCTTGCAGTGGACTAGTCTAGGGGTAGATTGGAGTTCAAAGCTGGAAGTAAGACAAAAGAAGTTATTTTGCTTAATTAGCTTTTCAAATGGAATTCCTAAAAGCTTAGTTCTGCTCCCAAATGGAAGAGCAGATAAGCAAATGGTTAAATGACAGTGAATCCCTTCTGTTCGTAGAGAATGTATCTCTTTCTGGGTGGTGGGTTTACTGAAAAAAGGGAGATGGGGAGATGCAATAGTCTTCTGGGGAAAATCAGGGAAGAAAACCATTATTTCTTAATTAATGCTATTAAATGAAGACAGAGAGGAACCCCTATCCAGATAAAGAGTTCAGTCCAAATATGTGATATCTTAATCAATAAAGAAATTAAAAAAAAAAAAAGAGTTTAGTCCAGCAAGATTCTTAAGAGTATAGTGGGGTCAGTACAGAAGACGACATAAGACTGATATGTATGCAGCCATTTTGGCAGAGAGAGGATCGGCTGTGTGAGGAAGGATTGTGAATAATACCTATGGTGTTGGCTCATTGGAAAGTTGCTTCACAGTGAAAACTTGTATAACATTTGTCTATGTTTACTTTTTACTTGTTGAGCTAATTCTTTGGTTCCCATGTAAATAGCCCCATGGAGGTGAACTACCTAGCTGTTATGAATACTACTCCATATCTTGGTGATGTGCTGGTGCTAGCAGGAAATGGGTCACAGTGGAGGATTTTACACCATGGAAATTGGCAAACGCTACAAATCAGGGACCTCCAATCCTTTGGGAGCTGGTTATTAAACATTTACCAGCACACCACTGATTAAATTATTGCCCAAGTGTTAAAAAATCTGTTACAGAATTGATGCATGAATAGTCATCATTTCTATTTGAATGTTGCCAACGACATTCTTTACTCATTATTTACTATAATCTCCCACAGTTAATATTATGAATCTGACAGTCCAGCAATAATTTTTCTAAAAACTCTAATAACCAAGTCAATATTAGCTATAACTTTAAAAATGATACAGCTTACTTTAAAAATTAAACCCTAATAATGACAGTACTTATGTGATGGATGGGAAATTTTTTTTATCTTGGGATTTTGTCTGAAATCTTACTTACAAGTATTTCACATATCTATAATAATAGAAGTGTAATATGCTAATTAGACCAGATGTCCTTCTGGATGTCCTTCTGGACGACCTTCTGGATGAAGCCAAGGCTGCGAGGGAAGCTTGGGTCCCAGGTACCTGCTGGCAGCTGGAGGGAAATCTGGGTTCTGGGTGCCTGTTGGCGGCTGGAGGGAAGCCTGGGTCCCAGGTGCCAGAGGGAAGGAAGGCCTATTCTTGCACAAATTTTGTGCATCGGGCCTCTAGTACACTTTTATCACTTTGGAAGGTGTGGCCTCTGATAAGTGACTTTTTCTTTGAATAGTAAAGACAAGTTATTTTAAAACTCACAAGAAACTTAATAGATCTAAGTAATTTAGAAGCCCATCTAATTCATAACATTAAACGGGGCACTTACCACATTACTAGTCATTAAAGTAACGAGGAAAGGCAGTTATGGTAATAACTGAACATTTCTTCAGTGGCTTAGATTTCTATTGCTAATAATAGCTACCATTCTCATGTAATGATAATGAGCTAAACATTGTGCCTAGAGCTTTATAACATTATCCTGTTGTATCCCCACAATCATCCTCTCAGGTAGCTACTATCAATGTTTCCATTTAATTGATGAGAAAACTCAGAGTTGAAGTGGTGAAGTGAGTTACCCCAGCTGGACTATGGCCCATCTCTTAAGACTTGTCTGATTCCCACGGAGTTCATCACCACATGAAGAGGACAGTCTGCAGGAGCTTCAGGGTCCCACAGAGAGAGATATAAAGTTTCATCATGGGACACCATCAAGGGAAGACATTAGAAACTCTTGTGTTTCAAGAATAAACGAGGGTAAAAGTGTTGTGGTTCAGGAATGGCATGTTTACATGCAAACCGTACCTGAGAGATGCTAAGACCTCAGATGATGGTTGATGCCCCCCATTCTAGACTTGGCAGTGATGCCATGATGATATGGCCCAGTAGTTGGGTCATATAAAAAAGTGGGATGTGGGAACTTTAAGTGAAAAATATTTAGGGCAATGGCTGTGTGGGCTTTTATTTCCCCAGATGCTAATGCTGCTCAATGAAGTCAAACTCTGAATTAGGCCTCAGTTGACATTGTTATAGATTCTTCAAAATATAATTGGGTAGAAGCGATAGAGAAGGCCGTTCCATAGGAAAGGCAGTGCAGGACTTTAGCAATCTACATTTTTTTCCAAAGAAATTATATTGTATCTATTTTTTAAAAGTTCACATAGACTTCGGCAGACGGCTTCTCTGAGTGAAGTTAATGAGAAGGCAGGTATTGGTTTTTGTTGTGCTAGAACCCTGGGGTGTATGTGACCTTGGAGCTTACAGGGCGCAGGATATGGGAAGGAGAGACCTCTGCTTATTAACTGCCACTTGTCCCCATTGTCCTCCTGTCCCCTTTGCTGTGCAGAGTTCTTTTGTCTCATAGACAATGCTGCTCCGGGCAAGCCACTAGGATGAGTTCACACCTCTCTTTCTCTGTGATGCTGCTGGCTTAGTTACAGGGAACTCTGCTGCTCCTTCCAACCCTTGGTCCTCTGTCTTGTTTCTGTGGGCATCACCCACCATTTGAAGTGTTGGCATCTCTCAGGCACAGCTTGCAAGTAGCGTGCCATTCCTGAATTATAACACTCCTTGTCCTTTTCCAGAACAAGGGGATATAACCCCTATTCCACCCCTTCTCCGCTGTTGGGTTACTTCCCTCTTGCATGAGTTCCTGAAATCTTCCCTTGACATTCTTAGATCATAAAAGAATGATAGTCATTCTGGAATTCTCTCTCTCTTCCTCACCTCTTTCTGTCTCCCCACACACTGGATAAAAGGACTTTTCATTTCAAACCAAACCTTAGAAATAAAAGCCTGGCTACTAGGAGTGGGGAGAGCATATCTTTTCCTAGTTCCTTATGTATTTTCAGACAAGTCTAGAACACTGAGGGGGAAATGCCAGTAAACATAAGACATCTTCTACTGCTTACTCCTTCAAATATTTCTCAGTCCGTGACTTCACCTTAACACATTATTTTCTAATTGGGGATGTGCATTTAAAATACCTGTATTTCTGTGTTAGCATCGAACCAGTCATAGTATGTGGTCATTGTTTATTCTTTTATTTTAATATTTATATAAATTTCTTATATGTGCTTTTCTTGGGTCAAAAAATGCTGTGCTCAGATTAGAAAAATAAAGCTTTATATCAGTGTAGTGTTTGATGGGAGCTATGCTTGAGTGAGTTCCTCTGAGAACAAGCATTTTATAAGGAGATGAGGGAACTCAGCCCTGAAAACGCAGAATCGAGGACAGAGAGACTACCAGGAAGTGGAGGGTGATTGACACTTCCTAAGAGAAAGAGTTCAGGAGGATAAGAATCAGTGTTAGGACATAAATTAGAAGTTGAGAAAATTGATTTCACAGATGTATGGTTCTGCCCCCATGGGCGACCTCATCAAATACTCTGACCAGTTTCTTTCCCTTGACCTTCACTGTTGTATTTTTTTCTATAAACCTTTTGTCACTCATGCCCCATGAACTGGAATTGGTCTCCTCATCCCATTATATTTGGTTAGTGGTTAAGTAAGTAGATGAGTGTGGGTTTTAGCTCTCGTTCTTCAGTTTTTCAAAATTAATGTGTTTTTCTTTCTTGGTAAGTTTCCAAATGTGTTCTAAAAGGAGAATCTACCTAAAAGTGAGGCTCTGCTGCTTCGCTCTCTGCTGGGAAATTTGTTTTCTGTATGGGATAATTTGAAGGTTTTATTTTGTTCTTGTTCCTGTAATATCCCGATTAAAGGATTAGGAAGCCCTTTGCTGTAGTTGAGTCAGTAATACCACCCTGAGCACAGAGACATACACTCGGGGGACATAGACTTGCATTTGTTGAATGAGTAATAGCTTAGCAGCAGCACTACCTTCTTGTCTGTAACTGTGTCAGCTATTAGTCACATTGCCCATGACTTCCGGGTACAGCTCTCAGAATTAGCAGAGAACTTGACATCAGTAATAAGACGTAGGTTGTGGAAATGACTAGGTTATAGTTATGAGTATTGAAAAAGATGGCTCATGGTTCCAGAGGGGAGATACTTGTTTAGCTATTGCACATGAAGCAGTGCCCTCAGCATCCCCTTTACATCAAATCCCCATTCACTTCATCAACCTTTTGTTTGGACTTAGTATTTGATAGCTACAATTAGGAACCCCAAAATAATGATCCTTGTTTTCTGGAAGCTCAAAGCTTCACGTTGACTAAAAAGTGGTATTTGTATCTATATCTATTATATCTATTTCTATGTTTCTGTGCTTAATATCTATCTATCTATCTATCTATCTATCTATCTATCTATCTACACAATATATGAGAAAACTGTATGTTAATAAATACTGACTTTATAATCATTCAAAATATGTGTACATTGTTTGGGACTTCATATATACAGGGTATTCCAAAAAATGTATACATACTTTAACAGCTCAATTTTAAAAATGAATTTTAATAAATACTGACTTTATAATTATTCACAGTGTGTGTATATATGCACTCTTTTGGGACACTCTATATTTTGCTTTCTAATAGATGTATTATGAGAAGAGTATGATAAGAGCACAGAGAGAGGCAAAACTGACTGCCTGGTGGGGGGAGGGAGATCTGTTGTGAACAGGGTTGTTTTTGAGTTAGAAACGGGAGTTTTATAAATAGAGTAGATGGGTTGGTCAGCATCTCCAGAGAAAGAAAACCACAGCAGCAGAAAAGAGGATGAAATGTTTTTGTAATGATGTGAATTCTGTTATAGTTGGAAAAGGGTGGGACAGTGGCTGAGGCTGGTAAACAGGTTGGGGCCAGATTGTGAAGTGTCAGAAGAGATAAGGGAGACTTTGGAAAGCTTTCATTGGGGTGTGCCATGATCATAACTTTATAAAAATAATTCTGGTGACAGTGTGAAGGGGAGGAAGTTGATGGGGGAGCCTGGTGCCTAATTGGCTATGTGTCCTCTGTCTTCCAGCTTTCTCCTGTGCTTCCGGAGAGTATCTAGAGATGAAGAACCAGGTCTGCAGTAAGTGTGGTGAAGGCACCTACTCCTTGGGCAGTGGCATCAAATTTGATGAATGGGATGAGTTGCCAGCAGGATTTTCCAACGTTGCAACATTCATGGACACTGTGGTTGGCCCTTCTGACACCAGGCCTGATGGCTGTAACAAGTAAGAACCCAAAGGAACCTTTGGATTTTGATTGAACAGTTGAGAAAGATGTAGTTGCTCTTTTACAGAAAGAAGTTGAGGATAATTTTGGTATTGATTGGGATTATAGATAAACTAATTATAAATAAACTTTTTTTTTTGTCTAGTCATTACTAATAATGTAGCTCAGTTTTTATGAATTTAAAATAATTGTTCTCAGGACAGAATAGATACCATATGCAAAGATGTGATAAAGCTATTAGAAAAACAAATTAATTAAAAAAAATATTTTAATGATTTTTTTTTTACAGAGAGGAAAAGAGAGAGATAGAGAGCCAGAAACATTGATGAGAGAGATACATCGACAAGCTGCCTCCTGCACCCCCCCCCCCCCACTGGGAATGTGCCCGCAACCAACTCACATGCCCTTGACCGGAATCGAACCTGGGACCCCTGAGTCCGCAGACCGACGCTCTATCCACTGAGCCAAACCGGTTTCGGCACAAATTAATTTTCTAATATATTTATAACTACACTCAAACCAGTGTATTTCTAAAAATGCTTTTCTAATTTTTAATAGATAAGTTCAGGTTTCCCCCCCTCTTCCTCTGAAAGAATGTGTAGCCTTCATTTAGGCACTTGATTATCTTTTAATAGAGAGTGGGTGAAATATGTGAAGTGGAAAGCTCATTTGCTTAATTTCTACCTCTAATAGGAAATTATTAGCTTTGCTTATGACACCACTGGAGGACTTTGAAATTGTTTTAATAAAAAAAGATATATTTATCTGTGGTCTGTACCCATTCCCATTCCCTTGTATTGACCATGTAACATTTCTTTTCACATGGCCGTGTTATTAAACATTAGGCCTCTGGCTAACTTCTGACAAGAGTGGATTTTCAGAAACTCACTCTTCTTACCGTGAGCTGAAGCTGTTGGGACTTTTTTAGCTAAAAGATATGCTCTCTCGCTTCCCCTCTGACCTTCCCTCCTTTTTATACAGATCTGGATGTTTATCTAGTATTATTTTCTCAGCCTATAATATTTCCTTTATTACTTTTGCAAATCAACTGCTCAAAAATTTTCTCAGCTTTTATTTACCTGAAATCTTTATTTTAGCATCATTTTTTAAAGAATAATTTGTGGAAATGGGATTCACTTATTGTGTTTATATTTTATTTAAAGTTGATTATATTTGTAAGAGCTGTCCCAATTTCTCAGGACTGTTTTTTTTTTTTTTCTCAGTTAGGGATCATCTTTTCTCATTTCTTTGCTTGTTTACTAAATTTTATTTTATCTTGAATGTGGTGAATATTAAGATATAGGTAAAGCAGATTATTGTTATTTTTTATTTAAAAGGTGTTGAGTTTTGTTCTGACAGGCAATTTATTTACTGGAAGAGCACCTTGATCTCATCAGGACTGATTTTTATTACTTTTTTGATGGCTCTGTATTTAATTCACACTTAGTTCTAGGTCATGGCCTTTGCTCTAGGGCAGAAGTTAGCAGAGTACAGTCTGTGAGCCCTCCTGTTTTTGCAGACAAGGTTGTATTGGAACACAGCGGCACTCATTTACTTATGCATTGTCTCTAGCTGCGTTGGAGTTACAGTAGCAGAGTTAATTAAGTATTTATTGCAAGAGAGCCCAAATTGTCGACAAGCCACACATATTTATTCTTTATGTGGCCCTTTAGGAAAAAGTTTGCTGACACCTGCTGTAAGGCAGGGCCTCTATAAGGTCTAGCAAATTCTGGAATCTTAAGTGGATGTCCAATAAGTTTATCAAGTTTCTTCCTCCTGGCTGGTTTGCAGCTCCCGGGACTTCTGATTATGTTTCAGCTTTGCAGTGGCTGCGAGCCCCAAGCCCAGGACCTACAGAAACATTCCATGTGGGTTCCTACAGCCCCTATTTTCTCTGATTCTCAGGCCTATAAATTCCAGCCTTTTCAGCTGCCCCCAAGCACTTGTCTCTGCTCTTCAGCTCAGGGAGACCACCATGCTTAGGTTGGGTGCCATTTCCTGGTGTCATCATTTGGGACATGTCCTGAGGAATGAGGCCAAGGTTAAATTGGGCTTTACCACGTGTGTTTGGCTGCTCTCAGGAATCCCAATCCTGCCCTGCCTGTTGTCCAGGCCTGAAATGGCTCCTGCATGCTGTTTTGTTTAATAGATGGTGAAAGGGGAAGGGCAGATCCAGTACCAGTTAGTCATATTGGGATGTGGAAATCTCAGTCTTTTGTTCAGAATTTATTTCTGTTAGAAAAAAAGAAAAGAATTTAAAAATCTCACTCTCATCTAAATAAAAAATTAAACTGAAGAGAAGAATGTTAAATTGTGTTATCTGTTGTACAGTTCGGTTAGAATTGTTCTTTTGCCCCAAAACTTGACACATGACTCTTTGATTCTAAGAATTAATGTATGGTTAGATTTACAACCCAAATTTTGTTCATCAATATATTTTCTTAAGTTTTTATCGTGTGTGTGTGTGTGTGTGTGTGTTTTAGATAAAAATTCCAGACTTTTACCTCATTATATACTATAAAACTGTGATCTCTATTTTATTTAGGTTCATTTTAAATAAGCTTTTTCTAGGACTATTTTTTTTTTCTCATGTCAAGGAATCTTCTCATCTGCCATGTGCATATGTTAATAAAGAAAATTTCAGATGTTATTTGAGATACTAATTCTACTCCAAACTAGTAGAATTACTGATTGTCTTTTTAGTGATCAAAGTTTTGGTGGAAAATAGCAGTTTCATAACAAATAGATCTTACCAAGATTTAGGGAATTGTGTGCCATAAGCAGTGAATCTATTCCCAGCAATGGTGTTGGCTATTGAATTCCAGAAAAACTCTGCTCTTCTCTGCTTTACCTTGCTGGAGGGATGACTTTAAAATATATTTTATTAATTTTTTACAGAGAGGAAGGGAGAGGGATAGAGAATTAGAAACATCGATGAGAGAGAAACATCGATCACCTGTCTCCTGCACATCCACTATTGAGGATGTGCCCACAACCAAGTACATGCCCTTGACTGGAATGGAACCTGGGACCCTTCAGTCCACAGACTGACGCTCTATCCACTGAGCCAAACTGGTTTCAGCTGAAGGAATGACTTGAATCTGAGTTACATAGGAGGTTTCTGAATGCTGATGTAAGATGCCCCTTGGTTTTGTTTCCACAGCTCTTCTTGGGTCCCTCGAGGAAATTATATAGAGTCAAATCGTGATGACTGCACCGTGTCTTTGATCTACGCTGTGCACCTTAAGAAGTCGGGTAATGTCTTCTTTGAGTACCAGTACGTCGACAACAACATCTTCTTTGAGTTCTTTGTAAGGCCTTTTATATTCTGAAATTTACTTTTTATGGTACATTCATGTAATATTTACCTTAATTCATTGTTTCCATTACATTTTATGCCTTCTCAGTCTTTGTGTGTGTGTGTGTGTGTGTGTGTGTGTGTGTGTGTGTGTGTGTTAACTGAAACTTTTGATGCTAAAAGAGAACTTTACTTTTTTCTATAATATTTTATTTTCTGGTGAATTTCTTGACCTCTGAGTTCTTGACTTGTAGAGTAAGATTGAGCTTGTTTTACATTTGCTTATGACCATTAGATGACCATTTGGTGTAAACTCTTTGGGTGATAAATATTTTCTCCAAGATTCATTTTAAAAATTGTTATTTTTGTAGCTACAGATGCTTTTTTTTTTTTTTTTTTTTGGTTAAAAATGTGTCTCCACCAAATCCAATTTTTGTTTAAAAACATTTTTTTTCTCCCTGCAGTTTCAAATATTTGAATTATTTAACTGTATTCATACGCAGTATTTCAGAAGTATAAGTGGCTATATGATTCTGATTCTGTCAGTTTTACACAATCTAAAGGAATAAATGGATGGGATATTTGATGTCTCGGTAAGAGATTAAATAGCATTACAATCTCTTGGATAAAATAACAGTTTAACAGAATAGGCTGTTACCTCTAAAATTATTTAACTATTTTATATAAACTGAAGCTAATCTAGTGACTATTTGTTGTGGCAGTGACTCAACTGTTTGAGAAAATGTTTTCCCATTGTCGCCACATACAAAAAAAAAAAGTGCAAGTAATTGGCAAAATACATTGTAAAATGTTTCTGTGGTACAGATTTCAGAAGGAAATGTACTAAAAATTCTAAGGCAAATATACATTGCTCTTGATAACAGAAATTTCTAAATCAAAAGTTGGTGGGAAGAGATATTTTTGATTAAAGTATGAACTTTAGATTTGAAGTGAAGAGATTCTGGCTCTAGTCCCATCTCGGCAGGTGCTAGCTGTGTGTTATTGGGCAATTATGTTTGCTTTTCAACCCTCATCATTCCCTTTTGTAAAGTGGACTGTGTGGTGGCCCTTTTAAGGAGCCTTCCTAGCTCTAATATCCTTTGATGAGTTTAAGATATTAAGCAACCGTCAGATTGGCTTTTTAAGCTGCGTTCTGTTTATAAAACATTTCTTCGGGTGAAAAATCACCCATTTTATGGGTCAATTTTGCAATATTACTAAACCTAAAGTTAAGAAACAAGGTAATTATATAATTGTTCAAATAAGCACTTAGTTTTATATTGTTCAGCGAGTGCTTTGAGGATTGTCAGTAATGGTCCTCCAGAGGCATGAAGTTTCATTACGTCCTTTCCAGGAGCCTGTGTTCTTCTGGTTATGGACTGAAGAGGGGGGACAAGTTCATGTTCCGCCTTTCACTGATGCTTCAGCTTCCGAGGCTGTGGTTTATCGACGCAGGCCATTCTGTTAAGGGCTAGTGGGAAGGAAATGTGTGGAGGACTGAAAGATGCAGTTGTACCTGTGGAATTACATCATTTGAACCAATGAAGTATTTAATTTTGGAACTGTATGGGACTTTCACTTGGCCCAGCACCCCTTTAAAATGATGAAACTGAAAACTGGAAAGAATAATGGATTGGACCAATGTTATACTGTTGCCAGTTACTTTTAGAATGAATGACAGAGCTCAGGCACCTAACATGCCAGTAGAAAGAATGTCATGATGACACATAATGTCTGATTTTGGCTGAAAAAAAGCTATCAGCTTATCCAAACACTGACCGCCAAAGGGTATTCAGAGTCCATATCTGTTCTAGAATGGTTTACCACATTAAAATGGCCATATGCTTATAATAAAAATAGGCTACCCCATTTTCTGGCGTATAAGACAACCCCCTAATTTTACAGTTAAAACATCGGTTTAGGCCTATATTCACTGTATAAGACTACCCCCCACTTCTGAGGCAACACCAGTTCTTTTTTTTTTAATAGACCGCCTCTCTGACTCAGCCAATCCAAGCAGGCTTTTTATGCATGCAAATTATACATGTTCTGTACCCGAAGCTACACTGTGTTCTAGTAAAAAGCCTGCTCAGATTGGCCAGAGTCAGAGAGGCGGTCTATTATAAAAAGAACTGGTGTTGCCTCGGAAGTGGGGGGTAGTCTTATACAGCGAATGTAGGCCTAAACCTATGTTTTAACTATAAAATTAGGGGGTCATCTTATACACCGGAAAATATGGTACTTGAATTCCATTGAAGCCAATATCCTCATAGTGGAAATTCTCTGGTATTTGGATGGAAAAAGGACCTATTTTCAAGTTAGTAAGTCTTTAGGATATTTCATGATGGAGAACATATTCTGTTCCAGAGGATGCATGAAGTGGCAAACATGATTTAGAAAAGAAAGAGCCATTTGAATGGAAGTAGAATAGGTGATGAGAACCTATTTTAACCCTACTCTATTGGTGACTATTGTGCAATACTGTAATGGTGGCCTAGCTTTTGATGTTTCCATCTTCTCCATAGACCTGGAAAAGTAGTATCAAAGTAGGCATTTTAAAAGAATCTTCTGGAAAGCACAAAGTGGTGCTGAAGATATTAATTGTGTAGTTCTTTGAATCAGTATGGCAAATGATTAACATTTACCCCCAAATAAAAATTTGGGTCTTTGACTGTGGCCATTTGACCAATACAATTTGGATTAAGCCCCGGGGAACTGAAAACAAAACAAAGCAGACTTAAATTATTTATTAATTTAAGATTTTACTGCCCCAAATATTATTTAAAAAATAAACTTCATTTTTATACCATTGGGCCTGCATACCATTAAAACAACTTGGTAAGATTTTTGTAATTACTTTTTCTCTTTATGTGAATTTTCAGAATGTACTGCTCTTTCCTTCTTTCTCTTCTCCACTCCCCTTCTTCCTTCTCAGTGAGATAGCCTTTTTTGTTAAAATAATGACAGTGGCTTATCTACAACCACTCATGCGTAGCAGTTGTCACTTTGGTTTCAGAGGTCTTGATGTGTTGACTTGTTGAAAATGACTCATGGGCATTGTTGAATGTATGTATTAAAAGAACCTATTGCAGCCTGCCCTGTGCTGAGGAGCACATTTAATGAAAGCCGTTATTCAAGAAGATATACTGGGGCCATTGTGTTTGTCCCGCAGATTCAGAACGATCAGTGCCAGGAGATGGACACCACGGCGGACAAGTGGGTCAAACTCACGGACAGTGGAGAGTGGGGCTCGCATTCTGTAAGTCTCTGTTCTCCTCCTTAGTCACCAGCCCCATTCTTCTCCTTCCTTTCCCAACCTTTTACAAAAGTTTATTTTAAGCGGGGGGGGGGGGGGAATTCAAAATTGTTTATGAATTTAGGAAATTCCCAGTTAAGAGACCAAGTTTCATGGACTTGGTCTCTTTGTAGGTATTTTTCTCTACCTTTCCCTTTTCCCTGAGGCTCTTTCCTTTCTCTTTCCCACTATACTTCAATTTTTCTCCTTTCAAAGGGGGCAATACCAATAATAAGGCTGATCACACCAATATATCATACAAAGCCTCTGAGCATCTACGTTTACAGACGTGCTTGTCATATGGGAGAGAATCAGTGGCTCTTGCATTGGAAGGATCCTTAGTTCCTTTTACCCAGCTTTCTCTGCAGTTTCCCTTCCCCTCTCCAACCCCCCATAAGTGATGTTTCAAGCTTGCCTTGTTGGTAACTGTGCTTACCCTACTGTTGGGTAGCTCTGATTACCACAAAATTCATCCCTGTGTTTGGAACCTAAACCTTCTCCTGTGTATTTGCCACCGATGGGTCAGAGTCTTATGCCCTTTGAAAAACGCCTTCCCACTGAAATAAAGTAACTACCTAACTCTCCACATGATAACTATAAATGCTTGAAGGCAAATATCAGGGGACACTGTCCATGCGGCTGCTATTATGTGGGGCACTGTGCCTTTGGAGTGACACATGCACTTAAAATCAAACTCTGCCTCACAGTAGCTATGTTTCTTTAGGCAACTGGCTTAATCTCTTTGAGTTGGGTCTTTTTTTATTTTTCATGTAAGAAATAAAACCACTCTTGCAGGGATAAATGAAATGATACATGGGTGCCCACAGTGCTGACAGAGCTCTGTTTCAATAAGTGACCATCCAGGGGCTTCAGCTTGGAGTGGTTAATACAGTGTACTTTTCCGAGTACTTTTTGAACTGTATGCCTGGAAGTGACGTTAGTACCACTTAAGATCTATTTGCCTAAGCATTCTCTCCGCTGGGCTTTGAAGGTACAAAATAACCCTTGGCAACAAATATGCTTTCTTCACTTATGAAGACTTCATGCAAGACGAAGGTACTTAGTGTACTACTTCTCTGAACCCCTGGCAAGGTGAAATGGTTGGATATGTTTTAAGTTTATACAGTTTGGATTTGGCCAGAGACTACATAGAAGAATAAGGGTGGCATATAAGAAAAAGCAAGGAACCCTTAAAATTAATTTGCTTGTCTGAATTAGCATGACATTTCTCAGAAAGTTAGATTGATTTATAATTACAAAGATACCCCAGTGGCAAAGAAAGCAGATATACATAGTAACATTTAAGTTCTAAAATCATAGTTAAATCAGGTTTTTTTTTTTTTTTTTTTAATAAGAACAGTCCTGTTTTCTCTGATTGCTGTTGCAGGATTGCTTATTAAATAAAAAAGAAGCCAACTCAGTCTGTTGATTTTTTTCTTTCTCGGAGCTCAAAGTCTGCTTATGAATAATGGCATCCAATAAATATATAATTGGTCTGAGTGCCTTTCCACTCTCTAAAATGAGTTTCTTTTAAATATAAACCAAGACTTCATGCAAATGCTTCAAAAATAATTTTATTTTTTTTTCTTTAGATTTGAGGAATTTTGTTTCTTTATTACTATATTTTTTGGAGTTGGCAAAGTATTTTTACTTTATTTTTTAGAAAATGTGAATTTCAGCAGAGCTTAGGTATGAATTAACAGTAGACTAAAATTTATGGATTCCAAATTAATGGTATTTTACTATAATTCAAAGAAAAATGTACGAGAGATTAGCTCTCAGGCATGATTGGATGTAACATGGCTTAGCCAATCTGAGTGTCTTGTGCTTTGCTTTGCAGGTAATGCTAAAGTCTGGCCCAAACATACTGTATTGGAGAACTACAGGCATCCTTATGGGTTCCAAGGCAGTCAAGCCAGTGTTGGTAAAAAATATCACAATTGAAGGTATTTCGCAGCAATCTGTTTTAGTAGTCACCCATCACATTTCACATTGAGTTACATATAGATTGAATTGTCGGTTTGACTGGCCCAAGAGTTTATGGGACAGGAATTAATATGTTAAGTATCATCCAGCCGAAACTGGTTTGGCTCAGTGGTAGAGCGTCGGTCTGTGGACTGAAAGGTCCCAGGTTTGATTCCGGTCAGGGACATGTATAATACATTGATTGTGGGCACATCCCCGGTGGGGGGTGTGCAGGAGGCAGCTGGTCGATGTTTCTCTCTCATCGACTTTTCTAGCTCTCTATCTCTCTCCCTTCCTCTCTATAAAAAAATCAATAAAATATATTTAAAAAAAAAGTATCATCCAGGTGTAGAGGTGCTGATTTTATTCCTCGAAAGTTGACTGATTTTTTGTTTTTGTTTTATTTTTTTTGTATCCTTAAACTGAATTATTTAATCTGTGTAAAAAAGTACACATGATGACAATTTTAAGTGTCTTTAAATAAAAGAAAAATGTCTTTATTAATAAGAGCCTATTATTCATGTGAGTAATGTCTATTGTGCCAGTCATTGAGCTTACTCAGGCCACTGCTGCATCCAAAAACAAATAATAATCAAATAAACATCTTGGCCTGACTATCTCCCAAATCTCTTGTGCTGCTTCATATACATATGCTGCTTCATATATATATTCCAGAGAGGAAGGGAGAGAGATAGAAACATCAATGATGAGAGAGAATCGTTGATTGGCTGCCTCCTGCATGGCCCCCACTTGGGCAACCCAGGTATGTGCCCTGACCAGGAATTAAACTATGACCTCCTGGTTTATAGATCAGTGTTCATTGTGGCTTGATTCTTGTGCTTCTTCTGAACCAGCTGGACCTTTGTGGCCCAGGAAAGCGGCCAGTAAACCCTGAAATTGTTCAGTCTCAGGGCTCCTTATAATTAAAGCAGTGTTTCTCCTCTATGAAAGTTTGGCTTGTGTTTGAATATGTTTAAAGTGTACTTGTTCCTGTGACGCTAACTCATTAGTCCACGTAGGGACATCTGCTGGCAAAGGCTGAAATTACAAACCAGAAGAAAAGTCAAGTTTTTCCCAGGGTCTGTTAAGTCTTGCCAGTGACTCAGTGAGCAGACCATAGAAAAGGAGCAAGCGGGTAGCCACAGAGATCAGAGGATGGCAGCTTGTAGAATTGGAGGGGACCTTAGAGTTTATCCCACTTTGAGTTTGTGGAGTTGTCTCTTGACGACTGAGTTTACACATTTACTATATATCTCTAACAGATGCCAATCGCTTGCTTCAGTGTTTGCTCTACTTACTGTGTTTTATTCAGAATCTGTCCCCGTTACCGGCATGCAGCAAGCGCTTCTTGGGGTTGAATGAACGAGAGAAAGGATTTGGGCTGAGCTCAGTGTCAGTTGTGCTCTCTCAAGAAGCTGAAAGAAGGTGCTGGTTTGCTCCCTTCTGTTGTGTCCTCCCTCCCATGCTCCGTGTGTTCCTCTCCCACAGGAGTGGCATACACGTCAGAATGTTTCCCGTGCAAGCCGGGCACCTTCAGCAATAAGCCAGGTTCGTTCAGTTGCCAAGTGTGTCCCAGAAACACCTACTCTGAGAAAGGAGCCAAAGAATGCATCAAGTGTGCAGAGGACTCCCAGTTTTCAGGTGGGCCTAATCTTTGTCCATTTATACTCCAGGCTCTTTTCTTTTTAAATGTGCATTTGCTGAGTGTGTAGTCCTAAAGCCACACGTCACACGTAAGTGGGACAGAAACAATGGGCAGGACACCAAAGTGCTGAAGTGAATCAATACTGAGTGGATAAAAATTACTTTCACCCCTCTCTGCCTGACTTTTCCTTTTGTCTGTAAATGTTTTTCCGTATTTCATACTTCACAGGTAACTGCCTGCGATTTGTTTATACTAATCTGGATGCATGCTGTACTTTTAGGTGAATGGTGGACATAGAGATATATTTAGAAACTTTTCATTTGTTCCAAATTTACAGTTTTAACGATAATAGAATAAGTCTAACGTCTTCTTGGAAAAACTGTGATATGTCCCAGGCATATCATGGAAGCACTTATTGCTCTCCTGAAAATAAAAATGTAAGCCCTTATCGTCTTCAGGCCTACCTAGTTGTACCTAAATTCCTCTGGTAAGGTTATTTTTACTTTTTAGTTGTTTCTCTTTTGCTTGTTTGTTTATTTTGTTGTTTTTTTAAAATGCATTTTTTGTTGTTGTTGTCGCAGAAGAAGGATCGGGCGAGTGTACGGAGCGCCCTCCCTGTACCACCAAAGACTATTTCCAGATCCATAGTCCATGCGATGAAGATGGGAAGGTATGGGCAGTGTTCAGTGCATTCCATTTCATGTGTGTTCAGCCATCTTCCCAGTTTTAGCAGACTTTTCTTTGTTGATGAGAGAGTTGAGTGAGCTGATGTATAAAACATGTATCTGAAGTAGTTCAGGGAAATTTAATAATTTATCTTCTGAAGCCTGCCTTCCTGGCTTTGATTTTTCCAATCTACTAATTAGTGCCGTGGGCAAGGTATTGGCTGCCTACGCATCAGTGTTTTCATTGGTAAAATAGGGATAATCTCTGTACCTATTTCCTGAGGCTGCTATGAGAAGATGAGCTGTTCAATGGAAGGTTCCTAGCACAGTGCCTGGCACACATTGAGTGCCCAATAAATCCCTGTTATTTATTTATTTATTTATTTATTTATTTATTTATAACAGTTCTATGTTTTAAAGAGTAATGCTGTCAGGAGTAGCACAGCCTTAAAATGTGTCCTGTGAATCACAGAATGGAAACCCAGTAAGTCTTCACTTAATGTTATTGATAGGTTTTGAGACTTGAGGTAAACCGATGTATCACAAAACCAATTTTACTCTAGGCTAATTGGTAGAAACAAGAGTCAACAGTGTTATAGTAAAACCACAAAGGCTATTGAATGAAATGACTTTACGTGGGGACCTGTTGTATCCTGTAACTTTTCTTTAATTATTTGGTTTCTCAGTAGGTTTTGTCAATAAAAAAGCCATGCAGCCATTGGCTGATTTAGTCATGGCAGATTGCTGTGTAATTGCATTCAAAAAATGCAAAGTAATTACCATACAAATAACACTGAGCCAGAGGAAAAATGCACACATGAACTCTGCAGCTGACCTGCCATTCTCTAAACTAAAAAAATGTCAGCCTATGTTGGCCTATTCATAGGAGAAGCTGAGATGGAAAAGTGGTTTTGGTGCAACATGCTTTCTGTATGCTTGCATCTTCAAAATCATGACAACTAATACCTTGACCTAATTTGGAAAATACACATAGAAGCCAGTATTGCTTTATTTTCTTAATCTGAGGTCCTAACCCATAATTTTATACTTATATGGTTATTGTAGTTACCCTTAGGTCTTAGGGTTTTTATTTTTTATTTTTTTTTTTTTAAGTAATTTACTTTTAATGCTTAAGATTAGATCACATTCCTGGACTTGATGGACCATAAAGGGTTTGCTAGATTAACTAGCGCTTTTCTTTACCTTTAATAAACTTCAATATTGTAAAGTATTCCAAATGCTTAAGGTCTATAACAGTACTTCTGAATTATATAGCAGGAGTAAGATATAGGAGACATTAAAAATAGCATATAGAGGATATGGCTTTATCTGGCTTTCTTCCTATATGATCTAAACAAGTCAAACACATTCGTTTCTTAGGATGATGGGAAAACAACATGACCTTTCTCTGTGATTAGGGATTTCTGCACTTGCTTAAAAATAAAATTGTTATTATAATCTTCTTTCAAATCTTAAAAAAAAAGTTTTATTGATATGTAATTCTCCTGCAATATAATATATCCTTGAAGTGTCAATTCATTGTTTTTAGTCTATTCATTCCAATCTAATTGTAGAACATTTTCTTCCTAACACCTTGGCTAGAATTTCTAGTACAATGTCAAACCCCATGGTGTCTTAACATAAAGGAAGAAGAGGACTGAGTATGTAACCACAAGGGAAAAGGGATAACAGCAAAGGCTTCATAGGAAAGGAATCCAAGTGAGTGCTGATGTGTAGACGGGTGCATTGAGGACGTGCTCAGAGCACACGTGGATGTTGAGCATGGCTTTGAAGGCAGGAAGAGGCAAAGCAAGGCAGAATGGTGTGGGTAACTAACTGTAAGAGACAAACGATGAGTGCCCAGTAGGTTATAACCAGAAAGGATCAAGGTTTGGGAGAGGTGCAGAGGCAAGCAGTAGCCTGGTTGGGAACATCTGAGCCGTAATGTGATGAAGCACAAGGCTGTCAGGTTGGAGTGGCAGTTGGTAGAGTCTTTAAAAGCACATGTAATTTATATCCGATGAATTCAGCCAGCCTGCAAAGCCGTGGTGGATTTGTGCAGGGATGTTTGAAGGAGGAAAGCAGACAACCATGGACAAATTTGGTCTCAAAATTCATCTAAAGTTTAGTCCTTCCCCGGTCTTGAATTTTATTTCAATGTAAGAACCAGCTTCCAATTGCTACCTCCATGTGGATTGTGTCTATCAATAGATTGTGTTTTATTTATACTTAATAGAAATACACTTGGAAACCATAGTTCTTCTGTAATCTTAATAGCAGTAAGCTTTGCTCTATTAAGGTCTTGGTTTCATAAAACATTTCATAATTTTACCTCAGCTTGCCAAAGAATGAATTGATTGTTGGGTTTTCACCTTCACTGTGAGCCATCTGGTGCTACAAATCATTAATATTGCTTATTAGCTTTTCCCGTCAGCCAGACTTGAAAGCATCTGTCCCCATTGGAAAGTGAGGCACAGAATCAGCCTGCCATGTGAAGCAAGGCTATGCAAATAAAACTTTTGCTGCAGAGAATTTGAAATTTCACTTCTAAGTGTTTGAATGTTTGAAGGTGGTGCACATTTTCTAACTTTTAAGCCATCGTTTGTGCTTTGATTGCAAAGTAGGTGGTTAGCTGACCTCTTGAAGATATATTTGTATATTTTATTATTTTTATGCTTTCCAAATGCATTCTCCTTGACTTATGTTACTTTACCATTTACTAGCTATGTATAACTTTGGGGCAAGAAAGTTGAGGACAATAACACTGACCTCCCAAAGTGTGTGTGTGGGGCAGATTACATGGTGGGCCCCCATAGTCAGTCCTCAGTGCGCAGCCTCAGAACTGTGCCCACTCTCCTATGGGAACCAACTATTCCCAACACCTCAGTCACTCACACACCATGCATTACAATTTTAATTAATGTCAACATAAATCAGCAAATTTTTGAATTGGCAAAGATTAAAAAGTTGTTTTCTATACTTGTTAAGTTTTAAAAAGATGACCCCCCTCCCCCCCAGTAGGATGATATTTTTGCTTCCATTTTTTGGAATTTTATATTGCCTTTCTCAGGGGAGCTGATAAGCCCTTTTGGATATAGGATCTAAGTTATTTTTTCCAGTTGTTTAGGAAGCTCAAGCAGGAACAACCATTGTTCTACAGATGGTAAGAGAGAGGTTTCTGGGTGAAGTGGCTGGTTAGACTGTTTCATGCTGTAGGCATAAAACGAATGCAGAAGGAGAGAGTTGGAAAAAGGAAAAAAAATAAAAGCTATTTATAATTCTGTTGAGACATTTACTTTTAAAGCATTTTCTTAAGCATTTTTCTTGAGATAAGATCGTTTATTCTTCCATAAGTGAATACTTGAGATAAAATTGAAAGGCCTAAAGGACTTACTATATATGATTTTCTATGAACTAAAAATGGCTATAGAGAATTGCCTTTAATTTTGGTCCTCCAGCGTCCATATTAGACTTATTATTGCAGAAATTGTTTTTAAAGAGAAAGATATGTTTAGCAGATTACATGTCTAATGAAGGAAGCTATTAATTTTTTTAAGAACCATATTTAGCTATGAAAAAAATGTATTTTTCTCTTTGCATTTAGAATACCTTTCCCCCTACTGATAATACCAATTTTGTTTGACAGGTCAAACCCATTTAATGGTTTGGTTTCAAAAGAGAATAATTTTATAATTACAATGTTCTGGGTTTGGATGAGTCATAGCTAATTTTGTTTTATTTCGTTTTGTGTGGGGGTGTAGGGATGTGTGAGGAAGAATGAAAGGATAAGGTTTAAAGGACTTCCCTTTCTGGAATTAGAGGCTGTCTTTATCAGGGTGAACAGTGTTAGGCCGATGGAGACCCAGCTATGGCGTCAGCCTGCCTCTGCAGGCGTGGGCTCAACAAAGGAACCATGGCTTCTGACAGCACTTCTGTCTGGGAGAAAGATGCCCCTCTAGCTCTCATCCCACAGCCAGACAATTCAGTTCCTCCCCCCCACGTCCCTGGCACCTTTTGAGCTGCTGCCCCAGTGCTGGAGCTTAGAAAGAGTGAGTTAGGGTAAGTCTGTACCCCAGTTCTTTAATAGGAATGCCTGGGACTCCTGCAGCCGATGTCTCACGCAGTCACAATCCCCACTGGTTTTCACAGCCTGAAGTTATAGGTCTTTTCTTCTCAGCACTGGATCCTGAACTAGGGGGACTGGGACCACTCTCTCCTCAGGAAGGACTTCTGCAGCTGCCAGGTCCTTCCAGTTTTTATCTGCCACCTGTGGGTGTGGGACCAGCTCATTCTGCATCGTTGCCCCTTCTACCCAGCTCCAAGTGGCTTTTTCTGCATATCCGTAGTTACAGGACTCTGTTCAGCTAGATTTCAGGTGGTTCTGAATAATGGCAGTTCCGTAGTTTAGCTGTAATGTTGATGTAGCCCTAGGAGGATGCCAGCACTGCGTTTATCTGTACTACCACCTTGACTGGAAGCCGGGAGGCTGTCTTAATCCTGATGTTCAGCACACATTCTGGAGGGCCTAAAATCCTCAGGAGAAAATATGTTAGCTACAGGTCTTGGAGTCTAATATCATATTACTGGAAAAGATCCAGAGAGCAACTACCAATATTTATGAAATAATAGGATTAAAATGTGGAAGCTGGGCATATTCTTCTTTAAAAATATATTTTTTAAATCACTATGTGGAAAAGTAAGTGGTAGGTACTGTGGTTGAGGGATAAGAAGAGAGTAGTGCAGGTTTCAAAATGAAAAAGATAGTCCCTGCATAGAGACTTCTGGTGGTTAAGGAGTAAATAAAGTGGATAGAAGAGTAAGGGACATAATCACATTGTATTTTAAAGAGGAATTTCATGATGAGGAACATGCTCTGTCTGAAGTAAAACCACCTTTAGTTTAGGGCAAAAATACTTGGAAATAATGTTCATTTGTCACTAAAGTTTTATTTTTTTTGGGGGGTGGGAGGGGTCTCATTTTCTTACTAATGTTTTAGATTGTCTTTATTCAGCCCTTCTAGTCTATCCATATTTGGGATTTTTCTAGGCTGTCAGTTTAACATTTGTGCTATTGGAAGTGTAAAGCAAATAAAGGATGTTTCATGACCTATAAGCCTTTTTTTTTTTTTTTTCAGACACAGATAATGTACAAGTGGATAGAGCCCAAAATCTGCCGGGAAGATCTCACAGATGCTATTAGGTTGCCCCCTTCTGGAGAGAAGAAGGATTGTCCACCTTGCAACCCTGGATTTTATAACAATGGATCCTCCTCTTGCCATCCCTGCCTTCCTGGGACGTTTTCAGATGGAACAAAGGGTAGGATATTAGTTAGTTCAATAATCGGACCTTTAGCATACTAATCATGTTGGACTCCTGTAAGTTTGTTCTAATTGTTCTTATGAATCATTTTTTTTAAGAGACTGAAGTAGAGTTGAGAAATATGATAATGGTGTCATGAGACTGTAGTGGTTTATTTAACACATCATAAGGATTGATTTTTAATGGCATTGTGTAATCCACTCTTATGGTATGACTCTGCCTTTGGGTAGTGATAAGAAGTTCTACCATATTAAGCGATTAAGAATAAGCACTTCATCTGCAGAGTATTTGTACATAGCTATTAATGCAAGCATAAAATATAATGCCTTCTAATTCAGCTTTATATTGGAATAATAAGTCACATTTTGTGCAATAATATAAAAACTTGCTCATTTCAATCACATAGCATATTATATTCCCTAAGCAGGTTATTTCAAAGTGAATAGTTGGGAAAATTTTAGTACTTATCAAATAATGTCAAAGGTGGTTAGAGAACTTGTTTTAATTTTGGTAGACAGGGATTACAGTGCATTTTAATTGCCGGTTTCTTGAATATAGCCATGCAGCATACTGAATATCCTGAGCGTTTGAGAAATAACATGAAAAGGATTTAAGAGTCAAATTGTCTTGTGTTTAAGTCCATATCCAGCAGGCTACCAATAGTGCTATCTCTCCAAGTTACTTAAACCTTTTGAATTTCACTTTTCTCATCTAAAAATTGTGGGTAATAACATCCAGCTAATCATTACTGAGCAGGTTATATAAAAATGGCTCCTGCAATACTTTGGTACCAGAAGTGTTTGCTCAGTGAACATTTTATCTTCCTACCCCTTCTCTTACTGATGTGATAATGCAAAGTGTCTTGGGTAAATTAAAAAAATGGTTAGAAAAGATCCTCCATTTCAATTGAGCAAAAGTTAATTTAAGTCGGGTTTATTCATAATCTTTAACTCTTTCTAAACTCCTCAACTCCCAGTATTTTTTAACATAGCTAATATTTTGAACTTCAAGTAATCAATTCATAATTAAATTGCATAATATTCTGTTCCATTTAATAACCAATAGGAAGTGTGAAATGTTTACTTATTCATGAGGTAAAGGGTGCTGACTCCAAAATCACATATAAGAGAACGTGTTTCAGAGTTACTCTTCTTGTAGGGGATAATTCAGTAGTAGCAGTTACTCCCAGAAATGAAGGGGGGAAATTACTTTAAAAGATTTTACATTTTTCCCTTTTCATGTAAGTCAAGTATATATGTGTATAATGTATCCAGAATTATTTTTCTCTCCAGATTGTTTTTGAAAAAGTTACTACTTCTTCAGGGAATTGGTGGTTTAGGATCTCTCGTTCCCACTTCCCTCTCTGCTCATTAAAATTCAGCAGTGCTTGGAACAAAGGGAGAAGAAATTGTCCAGATGCAGTTTAACAGTCACTGTTTGCCCCACTTGTCTCCTGCAGAATGTAGACCATGTCCAGCGGGAACAGAGCCTGCCCTTGGCTTTGAATACAAATGGTGGAATGTCCTTCCTGGCAACATGAAAACCTCCTGCTTTAACGTTGGGAATTCAAAGTGTGATGGAATGAATGGTGAGTTCAGAGTCAGCCTCTTGAATGTGTTCTGGCAGCAGAGACTTTCAGTTTCCACTCTTTAAAAACATACTACATGTGGGTACGAGAAACTTCAATCTCATTTGGCTACTTGCCCATCTTCGGGCCCTCACATGAAAGTAGTAACTGTGGTGTTACAGCCGGATGACTTTCCTGTAAGAATATAAGCTATTTTGCTTTGGGGTCAGTGTAGAGGTAGATGTTGAAGATGACCAGTTATGGTTATAAATACCAGAATAGATTACCAAGGGAAGTAATGAAATCTGTGTCATTTGCCATGTTGAAGGGTAGTGTGACAGTGTTTCTGGACTAGTTTGGTCTGGCTCAGCTCTGAGTTTTTGGTGAGAGGTTGTTAAATCGTCTCTGTCACTTTTTGCCTATGAAGTCTATGACCTTGATTACAAAATATTGATGAATCCCACTTACTGAAAATGTGAAAACATGACCAAGTTCTATAGGATGGTTGCTGAATGTTCTTACATTTTAAGTTCTTAGCCTAGCACTTAGCTGTGCCTATGGTATGTTGATGGTTTTTGTGCAGAGGACAGATTCCCCTCTTCCCCACCATCACCTTTTATGTATATCTGTATCACCATACTGCTGACAATTGTAGTGTGTGTGTCTCTCTCATATTCTTCTGATTATTCAGTGAGGTAGAACTCATTCTTGTCTTTCTATCCCTAGTGCATATCATGGTTCTTAGCACTCAGTGAGTGCCAATGGAGTAAATGAATAAGTGAATGAATGTAGAACAAGGGTTAAATTAGAGAACAACAATATAGCAAACTATAAAAAATAACGCCAGACTTCAGATCTTCTTCATTAAGTGATTTGAAGTTTCTATTTCTCATTGGTTACCTGGAGACTCGGATTTTCTATCTTATTGTATTAGAATGAGTGAAGACCATCTGTTTTAGTTTTAAAAAGGATAGTCATAACTCACTGAGAAATAGTTTTCTCATTACATAACATTTATGCAAAAATATGCACCACTTGATTATTTCTGGGGAATCATATGGAGTGTGTTTATTGGTAGGTAGGAGTCTACCTCTATGTGTAATTTGCAACTTCAATTTAAAAATAGAGAATTCTTTGGAAGTATTTCTAATTTTGAAACACTACTGGTCTTTTTGTAACTTCATTTAAAAATTGTTAGAAATCATTAATGGAATTTTTACTAATAAAGATGATCTTTCTTATTTCTAGGTTGGGAGGTGGCTGGAGATCATATCCAGAGCGGGGCTGGAGGTTCCGATAATGATTACCTGATCTTAAACTTGCATATCCCAGGATTTAAGTAAGGAAATCTCATTCTGATTTTCTTCTGTAAGAATCCTCATGCCTGTTTCTCTATAGAAATAGATGGAGTAGGACCGCCTTTATAAAATATATTAACACTGTGATATCCTTAGCAAATAGCAAGTAGGGTAATATGTTTAAAAGTATCTGTAAAATCAGTGATTGAGAAACTATCACTATAATGTGTATTAGTTAGATACTGAAAGGTTTAAGCAATATTTTATCCAAACGTTAACAATAATCACGATTCTTGGATATTTAATGAGGATGTCTTAGTCCAGGTTATATACAGTAGTATCTTATAGTTTATATGCTTATTTTTCTCTATTAGCATGTCATACATTTTAAAATCACATTTTTCTTTAATTTTCCATGTTGAAATTTCCCAGTAGGTGTCTTGCTTGCTTTAGGATGGGTGGTAGCCTTTATGGCAGGAGATTCAAGCACAGTAACATGGTTGTGGGGACTCCATTTAGAACAAAGGGTATGGCCAAGCAGAGATTGAGTGAGGAAAGAGTTGGATTGTGCGGAGCAGTAGATTAGGGGATGAGGAGAGCATGGCTTTCAGCTTAATGAAAAAAGCGATAATTTTGTTCCAGATTATATTTAGAATATACTATAATATTATAATTTTAATGTCAAATAGACCACCAACATCAATGACTGGAGCCATGGGTTCTGAATTGGGAAGAATAACATTTGTCTTTGAGACCCTCTGTTCTGCTGACTGTGTTCTGTACTTCATGGTGGTAAGTGAAAGAGTGGCTTTCAAAGGCCGACTTAGAAATCTAGAAGCTTAGCATTCTCTTTCAAGTGTGAATTTATTTATACAAGTGGGAATAAGAATCCTATTTTTCTTCCCATGCTTAGTCCCTTACAAAAGCACTTAAAAACATCTAAAGAAGTCACTAAGAATTGTGAAATGATACCCACAAAGAAAATAGTTGTTCCTCATGGAAAGGACTGAGGGGACCCTGGCAAGTGACACAAGTCAGAAAATATTAATCTGTTAAAAAATTTCTTCATAAAAATATGCTACCAGCAGAATGGAAATTTTCCCCCAATAGCAATTCAAGCTGTCAGGAGGGAAAAACATCCTTCCTAATAAAAGAGTAATATGCAAATTAACCATCACTCCGCTCAAGCCACATCCACCAGCCATGCCCACCAGCCTATCAGAGCGAGTATGCAAATAAACCCCAACCAAGATGGCTGCAGCCACAGAGAGCAGTTGAGAGGCTTGGGTTTCCCCGGCAATAGAGAAAGCCAAGCTTTCCACAGACCCTGGCAAGCCAAGGCCTCCACTCAAGGAGACAAAGTTTCAATTATAGAAGATAAATCCCAAGAAAAATGGTAGCAGCTACGGAGCTGGAAAGAACAGGCTAGGGTTGCCCCTGCAATGGAGGAAGCCAAGCTTTCTACCTGGCCAGCCTAAGCCTCCACTCAAGGCTACAAAGTTTCAATTATAGAAGGTAAATAAATTCCAATAGAAATGGCTGCAGCCATGGAACAAGCAGGAGGCTTTGCTCTGCTCTAGGCTACAAAGTTTCAATTGTAGAAGGTAAGTAAATTCTGGATAACAGGGCCTCTGTTTTGGTCACTAGGGAGTGTGGCTGGCCTGCAAACCACCACAGGCCCCTCTCCCAGGCCACCTCATACCCCAAGGGAACCCCCACCCTGATCTGGAACACCCTTCAGGGCAAACCAGCTGGCCCCCTCCCGTGCACCAGGCCTCTATCTTATCTAATAAAAGTGTAATATGCAGATTGACCATCTCTCCAACACACAAGTTGGCTGCCCCCATATGGTCAAAGATCCTGCCCCTATGTGGACATAAGATGGCCACCATAAGATGGCCAGTTGGGAGGGACCAGGCCTGCAAGGAAGAGCAGTTGGAGGGGATCAATCCTATAGGGGAGGGCAGTTAGGGGTGGCCAGGCTGGCAGAGTAGGGAAGTTGGGGGCAAACAGGCTGGCAGGGGAGCAGTTAGACATCAATCAGGCTGGCATGGGAGTGGTTAGGGGGTGATCAGGCTGGCTGGCAAAAGCCGTTAGGGACAATCAGGAAGACAGGCAGGTGAGCAGTTGGGAGCCAGCAGTCCTGGATTGTGATGGGGATGTCTGACTGCCTGTTTAGACCCGGACCCGGTGGGTTTAACATCCCTCAAGGGGTCCCAGATTGGAGAGGGTGCAGGCTGGGCTGAGGAACATGCTCTTACTCTGTGCACAAATTTCATGCACCAGGCCTCTAGTGTATCAATAAGTGACAGAAGAAAGCAGTGTTGTTGTGGACACTTGGAAGAAAGAAAACACTACCTTGTTAAATGTAATCCATGTATTCCGGCCACAGTGGCTCCTTGGTTGAACATCGACCTATGAACAGAGGTTGGGATTCAATTCCCTGTCAGGGCACAGGGCTCAATTCCCAGTAGGGGGTGTGCAGGAGGCAGCCAATCAATGATTCTTTCTCATTAATGATATTTTTGTCTCTCCCTCTTCCTTTCCGATATTAATGAAAATGTATTTTAAAAAATTCAATCAATGTAGACAATGGACTTTCCAATGTATATGTAATAATTTTGCCCCCTTTTTTCTAGATGTCCTATAAATCTTAACTCTTAGCTTACAATTTATTGGATCTCTTGTGGATATTAAAAGGTTGTTGGCTAAGATTTTAGCATTATGATTAAAGACTGACTGTATAGGCATGATTTGTTTTTGTTTTTCCAAGGATCCTTTAATAGCTAGTTAATAGCCCATTAACAATTTCCTCCATGACATACAAGATATATGGAGATTTAAATATTTATTCATGCTTCCTAAGAACTTAAATGAAGACAGACTATTTTGTTCTAAAAAAACAAAATAACTCCACGGTGGTAAAAGAGATCATAAATAATCTTCAACACATCCATCTATATTATGTCACAAATAACCAGTAAGTCTTCAATTCTCCCACCTCCGCCTCCTTAGTCCTTTAATATTAATCCTTCTTCATTCTCAGAGCCATTGCTGAAATGTAGATTCCTATTATCTTTTAACAGTAGCCTCCTATCCATTTTTCTTATCTCCATTCTGTCATCCATGCAGCTGTCAAAATATCCTTATAAACATAAAAACAATCGTAGAGGCATCCACATCAAGCTAGCTCCTTACTCTTGGTGGCTTTTTGTTGCCTGTGGTAGTAGTAGTTCTTGAAGTATGATCCCTGAAACAGCGTCATCTGAGAATTTGTTAGAAATCCAAATTTCTGAGCCCCATCCTAGTCTTAATGGACAATTCTGGTGATGGGGCCCAGCATTCTCTATTTTTAGCAAACTTTGAGGGTAGTTCTGATACACACTAAAGTTTGAGAACTAATAACCTATAATAGAACTAATAACTAATAACCTACACTTAAAATTCTTTAGCTTGGCCTTTGTAAGGCTTTTCCTACTTTTTGCCTACCTTCTGTTACCAAACCTACTGTGAGTTATCACACTTTTTAAAAAATATATATATTTTATTGATTTTTTACAGAGAGGAGGAGAGAAGGGATAGAGAGCTAGAAACGTCGATGAGAGAGAAACATCGACCAGCTGCCTCTTGCACACCCCCTACCATGGATGTCCCCGCAACCAATGTACATGCCCTTGACCGGAATCAAAGCTGGGATCTTTCAGTCCACAGACCGACACTCTACCACTGAGCCAAACCGGTTTCGGCAAGTTTCATACTTTTTAAAAGAATATATTTTATTGAGTTTTTACAGAGAGGGAGGGAGAGAGATAGAGAGTTAGAAACATCGATGAGAGAGAAATATTAATTAGTTGCCTCCTGCACATCACCTACTGGGGATGTGCCCACAACCAACGTATATATCCCTTTGACCAGAATCGAACCTGGGACCCTTCAGTCCATAGACTAATTCTCTATCCACTGAGCCAAACCGGTTAGGGCTTCACACCTTTTTAAACACCCTGAATTTGATAGTGGAGCACCTGGTACTTTTTAATTTCTCTTTCCTTGCTACTCAAGGTTTGAATGACATTCTTCTTTATGCTCTTTTGCCTGATGAACATCTATCCATACTTCAAAGGCAGCTCAAACTTTACTTCTTTGGGGAATATTTCTTTTCTCCCTTTAAGTAAAATGAACAACTCTCTGCAGTGTGCTCCTTTTGAGAAAACCCTTTTTTGATTATGTGGATGTATTTATTATTATTATTTTGTCTTTCTCATTTGAACAAACACTAAGTGTAGGTATTACAATTATTTATTTTGATAAATCAAAACTGGAGTTATAGCTCATAGCTATAGTTAGTTCCTTACTCTGTGTAATTTGGTGTTCTCACAGGATTTTTTGAAATATCAATAAAATAGCATATAAAAATACTTTCAAAATTGTGTAGTGTTTTACATAAATAAAGTGGTATTAGATGTAGTAATGCAATACATTCATTTATCATTAGAATAAACATCCAGAGAAATGTTTACAGAGCACTATCTGCATATTATGAACTCCTTAGGAAGTGACTTGATTGCTTAGTAATGTGGGAATTCTATAATGTATGAAAAGCACATTCTGTTGCTTCTGTCTGTGGCATGAACTTAACATGCCTCTCTTTATAGTAGATTTGATTTCTTATAACATGTTTGACTCCTATGCTTATATCACAGAAAGAAGAGAGACATGTATTGAGTTCATGCCACCATATTGTTAACATCAGATAATTCAGAGAAGCCCATTTAGAATTCTAGATCATGTATTAGGGGTTCTGCAGGGAAGGCTAATAAGAATATTCAGGATTAATCTTGGCTTTAATTTCTAATAAATTAGTTGTGTATTACATTATTTGGCTTTCTTAACCATGTTAATGACAACACATTTGTTGGAATATCGCACATTTATATGGTATTCTAAATATTGAATTTAACCAAGGAAATCAGAAATAAATATTACACAAATTAATACTATGGCACTTAAAGCATAAGCAAAAAGAATATATCATGAACATAAAGTAACATTCTGATAACCTGCACTTGGGTGAGCCAGGAAGTTGCAAGTATAGAACAGGGAGAACTTACAATTTCTATGTAAGAGCTGCCTATAGCAGATCTCAAGGAAAAAGATAAAAATAGAAAGCCTTGCCATTTTATGTTCACTGTGAGAAGTTTGAGGAACTATGTTCCCCCTTCTAAGTACCCTGTTCCCCCAAAATAAGATAGTGTCTTATATTTAATTTTTTCTCCCAAAGTTGCGCTAGGTCTTATTTTCAGGGGATGTCTTATCTTTCCATGAGCTGGTCTTATTTTCAGAGGATGTCTTATTTTCGGGGAAACACAGTATATATATTTCTTAAAGGTAGAGGTTCACACCCACACCCACTACCCACATGCGTGTACGCATGTACCCACACACACAAACACACACACACACACACACACACACACACACACAAGAAAACAACCACCCTCCTTATACATACTATGATTTGAGACCTTTTTAAAAAATATATTTTATTGATTTTTTACAGAGAGGAAGGAGGGATAGAGAGTTAGAAACATCGATGAGAGAGAAACATCGATCAGCTGCCTCTTGCACACCCTCCACCGGAGATGTGCCCGTAACCAAGGTACACGCCCCTGACCAGAATCGAACCTGGGACCTTTCAGTCGGCAGGCCAATGCTCTATCCACTGAGCCAAACCGGTTTCAGCTGATTTGAGACCTTTTACATGTTACATTGACATTGTGGTTGATATATTGAATTATTACATAAGCTAGTCAGTGCTTGTGTAGATTTGAGGGAAAGTTTTGAGAATTAATTATAGGGTTACATCTCTGTAGATAAATATTTACAAACCCTACAGGGTATGCTGTAAATACAAACACATATTTTTAATGAATAGAGATGTGTATTAATACCGAGTTTATGCTTTTCTGTGTGTATATTTTAAGGATATTAATAGAAAAAGTACCAACGTGGTGGAATCATGGGGTGGAACCAAAGAAAAACAAGCTTACACCCACATCATCTTCAAGAATGCAACGTTTACATTTACATGGGCATTCCAGAGAACTAATCAGGGGCAAGATGTAAGTTCCAAGTTTTTTTTTTAATACAAAGACGATACCCCAGTGGAGATTTATAGAAAGTAATCACTCATATCTCCTGGAGGAAAGATAGCATTTTACTGATGTAAAATCAAACATTTGGTTATGAAGTAGACTGGTATAAAAATGGTTATTTTTTTTGAGAGCAAGAATGTATGAAATGGAATAATACAGTGGATCTTTGAATTGTTCTACACTGTGAACAATTATAGTTACTAGAAGCTTAAGAGAAAGAACATCTAATTTTGTAGTTATTTAAAACCTTACTTTTAAAGCTTTCTGAGACTCTGAAAAGACTTTTGACTTACTTTCTTTTCACCTGAATGATCAGGCATTTGCTTAAAAGGCATTAACAGACGTTGGTTTATAATTTCATTACAGTAATGTCTTCTTTTATAGCCTGGAGAATGTATGTGGACCCAGGATTGGGTTAACACAGAGAATTATTAACCCTCTTTCCCTGTTAGACTAGACCTTCATCCTCCACTAAGTAACTCCCATTGTATGTTTCAATAGTAGCAAGATTATTGTTTTTGTGAATCTCCAAAGATGTGAACTTCCTAACTTGAGAACAAGGTAAACCACAAGTTCAGAAGCTGCCTTAAAAGCTGAGGTGGCAGAAGGAGCATTTTCTCTTTTCTTTTGAGGCTTTCCCTGGGGAACCCATTCCCCAGGTTTACTGGCCTCCAGTTTTGTTCTTTACGAGCATTCAGATCACCATCATGCAGGGCATGAACATGCTAGGGATGCTTCCTTGCCTTCTTGCTTTGCTCCACACAAAAAGCATTTAGTCTAGAGTAGTGGCAGTGTGACGCCCACTGCTTGGATGAAAATGAGCCCTTAATTGACCCATTATCTCAATAAGGAAAAGCATAAAGTAAGCCACAGATTCTTGCTCTCCTTTGCAAATTCTTTCAGTAGAAAACAGAGAACCTTGGTTAGGAAAAGTACGAGAGAGAGAGAGAGAGAGAGAGAGAGAGAGAGAGAGAGAGAGAGAGAGAGAGAGAGAGAGAGAACAGACAGAGACAGACAGGAAGGCCCAAAGAGGTCATGTGATTGCATCAATATTGCACAGTTAGTTAGGGTGAGGGCCAGAGTCTTATTCTTCCAAGGCTAGTCCATGGCTTCTGCCCGGAAACACTGTTGGCATCTGTTGTAGCATTAGGTTCGGGCTTCTGTCTTGAGTAAATGGGAGATAAAGCTGCTCCCCTATTAAGCCATGCTAGTCCTGCTAGATGTAAAGTCTATAAAATACGCCCGAGTTAGTACCAAGTATGACATATCCATGGTGCCTGTGACAAAACTCCTGGGACTCCATTACTGTGGCCTTAACACAGTCTAGTGTTAAGGTTTTTAAAGAAAAAATAACAGCAACCCCCTCACCCCCAATAATATTAATCCATTGTCAGTTATAAACTATAAGGCTGGAGCACTCTGCTTATTTTGGTGATATCAACATGAAGCAGTTTGATTGTCCAAGTAAGCCCCAAAGCAGAAGTCATTAGTTTCTGCTCTCTTTTTAGAATAGACGGTTCATCCATGACATGGTGAAGATTTATTCTATCACTGCCACTAACGCAGTTGATGGGGTGGCAGCCTCATGCCGTGCCTGTGCCCTCGGTTCTGAACAGTCGGGCTCATCGTGTGTCCCCTGCCCCCCAGGCGACTACATTGAGAAAGAAACCAACCAGTGCAAGGAGTGTCCCCCTGACACCTCCCTGTCCGTACATCAGGTCTATGGCCAGGAGGCTTGTATTCCGTGCGGGCCTGGGAGTCGAAGCACTCGGGTAAGTGAGTCCACTGTAAGAGAGAAACTCAGAAGTGCCCTGGAATGTTTGCTCAGGAGCTACAAAGTTGTTAGCAATATTTATCGATTTTTTTTCACGCCCTCTCTTGTTTTCTCTCCTTTTCCGTTTATTGATCACTTAGTGGATATGTTCCATGTAAGTGCTAGTTTCTGGGGACATCCAATTTTAAGAAAAGCACTCAAATAAGAATGCTTTCCAACAATACTAAATTTCTTGTGGTTCTGTTAAGGCAGAGCAAGAAAACAACCTCTATAGGTGGGCACTAGGAACATACAGAGAGCAGCAAGTGTGTCTTATAACATTTTAAGGGCAAAGGTTGATGCTGTATTATGAATGAAGGAGAAAGGAGTTTTATTGTTTATTTAAATGGAAGTAACAGGAACGTTTGACTATGAAAATACCTTTCTACAAGATACTAACCTTGGAATAGCTACTTTGAAATGTTCTGAACCTTCTAATCATTGCCTAAAGAAAATCTAGTTAGCTTATAGAAACTCTCTGTATTAGTATGGTAAAATATACTATGACAAAGATGAAATCACTAAAATAGATTTTAAACTAGGATTTAAAAAAAAACACACGATTTTTCAGAGTAACTAATACTTTCTTTCCTGCTATATTATTAAACTTCTTCTTCTTTTTTTTTTTTTTTTTTTTTTACATTTCTTAATCTCAATCAAAGGACCACTCCGGTTGCTATAGTGACTGCTTTTTCACCCACGAGAAAGAAAACCAGAGTTTGCACTATGACTTCAGCAACCTCAGCAGCGTGGGCTCGTTAATGAATGGCCCCAGCTTTACCTCCAAAGGGACAAAATACTTCCATTTCTTCAATATTAGTTTATGTGGGCATGAGGTGAGTTCTGGCTGCAAAGGTGAGATGGGGTTATATTTCAGCTCAGAGTGAGTTTATATTTTCTATGTTGATGGCCCAGTAAAATCTCTCTGGAAACTAACGCCCACATGTCAGAAACTGAGCTTTGATGGCTTAAGTCCTCTGCTGCCTTCTAGCATGTAGGTTGGCAGCTTTCTCCACCAGGGGCAACCTTGCCTGGTTCTCAGTCCATCAAAGCATGCATCCAGTCTCTTGAACCCCAGACCTCGGAGTGATGGTTTAAGTGCTTTGAGGATCCTTTGTTTGTGTAAAAGTGGATCAAGTTTGTCATCTCTCCTGTATTTTAGGCAGGCAGTTATAGTTTGAGAAAGTTTTACTGTTGTTTAATATGTGTCTTTATTCACATACTCTTAGTTTCAAGGACATTTATCTGCTCAACTACACAGTAAGTTTAAAGGAACAAATAAAGTTGATCCAAAACTAGAAAGGCATTAAGCAGGAGACAAATGTCGGTTGATCAGATAGTTGATCTGCTATCTGAAAAGCATGGGATTTTCTTTTCTGTGGGAAGAAGCAGACCTTAATTGGCACTGGTAATGGGGAGAGTTACAGGACTATATGTTGAATATTTTTAAGGGCATACACGGTTGGGATTTCCTCCATGTCTCTTTCTACAGTAATTCCTGTATATCTAATGGTCTTCATTATGAGCGGCTGTGCCAAACTTTGTACAAAGGAAATAAAAAGAGATTTAATGATCACATAAATTCTTTAAAAAATCTATAAATTTTACATGGCATGACATTCGTCCTGTCCTAATTTGATGTACTCAGTCGGTTAGTCACTCAATTTACTCAATAATATATATTAAGTATCTATTATGTTTACTACTGTGTCAAGCAGTGAGTGAGATTAATCTCATTATGTACCACTCTTCTTCTTAGTCTTGTATTATCACCGTCTATGTTTCCATCTTTTCTCTTCTCTTCCTTCTTTCTCTTTCCCTCCACTTTATATTCTCACTCCTTTCTGTTTACAGTTGGCTCTCTCTTTTCTTCCTTAGTAGTGTATCTCTGCTCTTTTCCACTTTTCTTTTTTGCTTCAACAATTTAATTTGAGCTTAGTAAAAATATGTTGCACCTGTATTGTGGTGAGAAGGCTTGGTGGAGGGAGAACATTTCATGGGTTAAGACTACCAACTGCCTTAACAAAGTGAAATCTTGATTCTTTTCTTTATGCTCACGTGTGTACACTCTACATCTAAGACCAATAAACTAGTGTTTCTATTTTTCTTTGTACTTTTCTTCATAGAAATTATAGAGCAAGCTATAGTCCTTTGCATTGGGAGTATAGTATATTTAAACGTATTTAAAGAGTCTTCCAATATTTATAAATGCTATCTTCCAACTATCTTCCAAATGATTATAAAAGTTAACCTTTGTGTTCCCTTAAACTTAACTGTGCAGTTGAGCAGATAAATGTCCTTGAATCTAAGAGTATGTGAATAAAGACACTTGTGACCAACTGTTTACAATTTTGATGTTGTCTTAGGATTCTGTGGCAATATGGCTTTTATGTTTCTTCTTCAGCCTTCCCATTACCTTTGTGGCACACATCAGCCTACTTTTTCTGGTCTCTTTGCATGCATTGTTATCCTATGAATTGAAGAGTTCATAGAATGACTTATACTGCCTTATGTTAAATGGCTTCCATCAACCACGTATGATGCTTGCAGTTGGAGGAGGAATGCAGCCTTGAGTTAGTATATTCATCATAACCTCAGTGACTCTCACTCCTGGTTGAAACATTAGGATAGCCTCGAGAGCTTTTTAAAAATACTGGTGGCTCGGCCTCCCACCAGATCTAATAAATCATAATTGCGGTGAGGAGAGAACCACTGCCCTCCTAGAGTCCCTGGCTAGCTGAGATCCAGTTTAGAGAGTGACCCCCCATAAAACTTCTTTATGACTTTATTTTCCTAGGGGGAGAAGACGGCTCTCTGTACCAACAATATAACAGACTTTACAGTAAAGGACATGGTGGCAGGCTCAGATGATTACACGAATCTGGTAGGAGCATTTGTATGCCAATCAACTATAATTCCTTCTGAAAGTAAGGGTTTCCGAGCAGCTTTATCATCACAATCCATCATTCTGGCAGACACATTTTTAGGTAAGCTTCTTTTCATTCTTATATACATATAAAAAACCAGGGTACTGATAACCTGTCATAGCATTGGCTTTTATCCTGGATGATTAAAGCCCTCAGGTAGTTCTAAATCATCCCTTTGTGACATGGTTAAAAAGCCCCTACAAGTGAGATCTATTCATTAATCTCAGAGAGTACAAGGAACTTCTGAATTTATGTATTGACTCATATGTGATATGTGTTTTCTGAGAGTTGGCCTTGTATCAGATCCTCTAGGAGTTTAAGAGACAAAATAATTTAAAACACCAAAACTAAAAAGAAAATAAGAATAGTAAACAGACACAATATAAACCTAAATTATAGTATCCATCATCCATTTTCATCATGTTTTTTTTTTTATACCAGAAGTAAGTTGGTGACAAGTAGAAAAGGTGAATGTGCTGAGTTTTATTTCCCATCTGCTTGTCTTTCTCTGTGTTGTCAAGAACATAGGGATTAAAAAACAAAAACAAAACATAGGGATATTTTAAGAAGAATTCAGGTTCCCGTTAGTAATTCAGAGGGATAAAATTCATTAGACTTTTTGGAGTGGGGCTTAGGAACCTAACAAGGCATATAACAATCCCACAAATCTAACAAGCTTCTTAGATGAGTCTAATATGCAGCCAGATTTGAGAACATTGTTATGTGTTCCAAAGGAGTTGAGCTTTACTTTCAGCACCAAGGTCAGTTACTGAGCTTGCGCTCAGTGCAGAAGCTGTCAAAAGCAAAGGTCACACTGTTACTGCTTGCATTTTGGCTCTGCCATCATTTTACTCAGGGGAAAAATGCCTTACTATTAGATTAAGCAAAGTTTGGAGTTATTTTTGGAAATTATTAGGGTACAAGAATCTTGTTTGGGTCAAATGTAATGAATGTGAAAAAAGCTGTATTAGCAAAGTTGCCCAGCTCATTTGACAAAACTCACCAGAGACTGAGAAGTATAACAGTGGATTGTTCAAATGTTAGATTTGGAAGGGACTTTAGAGATATTGTAATTACTGCATGCATTTTACAGATTCAGGACATAAGAACCAAGGAAGTGAAGTGACTTAAGCAAAATTACAAAACTAGGGAATAGAATATTTTACTTTTCATAAACTTTGGAAAGTTTCTTATTGTCATATTAATTTAATGTAATATTTCTGCTAAAATTACAATATAAAAGTAAAGCTATTTTTATTCAGATATACAGAGAGTAAATAAACTTAATTTTCCCATATTGCTCAGAAGTATCTTTTTTATTGCCTTGTAGGAGTGACAATTGAAACCACATTGCAAAATATTAATATAAAAGAAGATATGTTCCCAGTTCCACCGAGCCAAATACCAGATGTGCATTTCTTTTACAAGTAAGTGAAGATGCTGTTTCCCTTGATAGTTTTTTTTTTTTTAATCAAGAGAATGTCACTTCAGGGTGCCAGCATAGTAGCTTATAATTAATAGATAATCAGCAATTGGTTCTTAAATAAATTACTTAGTAAAAAGTAGAAAACATGGAATAGTTTGAAAACCTCATATAAATTTGCTTTTATATATATATATTTTAAATTAAGCAAAATATAATATTTTAAATTCTGTAATTCTGCCCCTATTGTATAGGCAGTACTTATTTATAACTTATACAACTAGACATCAGCCTGAGTGGATATGACATTTTTTCCTTTAAAATTTCTTTTGATTATAATTTTGATTTTAATTATAGAAGCTTTACTAAACACCTTGATAACAGCTTATCACTTTACCTGAGAAAATAGTAAACTTTTCATAGTAAAAAAAAAAAAAGGCTTAATTTGTATTAAAATTATAAAGTAGTGACCTTTGATTCCTTTTCTTTTTCCATTTGTTTATATAGCATAGGAGTTTTTATATGTAGGTTATTTTTGTCCTTGTAATCTGTATCATACATATTTTGTAAAGTGATATGTGCTTTACAATAGGTCTTCTGCAATCACAACATCTTGTGTTAATGGCCGGTCAACTGCGGTGAAAATGAGATGTAATCCCACAAAACCGGGAGCTGGAGTGATTTCAGTCCCCAGGTAACCTTATTTCTAAAGGATTATTTACATTTGTATGTATTACGAGGAAGCAACACTCTAGTATCTTAATATTTTAAAATACATTCTCTATGGCTGTAAAGCAGACACTAGAGGACTCTGTAGATTTTGGATGTAATAATAGGTTACATTGAGTGCCTGTTAAAAGTTTTTGCTGCGCCCAGCTGGGGTAGCTCAGTGGTTGAGAACTGACCCATGAACCAAGAGGTCATGGTTAGATTCCCAGTCAGGGCACATGTCTGGGTTCCTGGCTTTTTCATCATTAATGTTTCTACCTCTCTCTCACCATCTCCCTTCCTCTCTGAAATCAATAAAAAATATTTTTTTAAAAAAGAGGTTTTGCTCCATCTCAGTATTTCCCAGTCTTCTCAACAATATATTCACCTGTTTGCCTGAGTGTCTAAATCTATTTAAAAATTGTTTAGGTAATATATACTTATACTGTTTCTGTCCTTGTACTTATTCATACGATTTAGCCTTAATTTCTTTGAGAGCTGGATTAGGAACTTTTCTGTGTGTTCATTTTTTTAAATATATTTTATTGATTTTTTACAGAGAGGAAAGGAGAGGGATAGAGAGTTAGAAACATGGATGAGAGAGAATCATTGATTAGCTGCCTCTTGCACACCTCCTACTGGGGATGTGCCCGCAACCCAGGTACATGCCCTTGACTGGAATCGAACCCGGGACCTTTCAGTCTACAGGCTGACACTCTATTCACTGAGCCAAACCGGTCTCTGCTGTGTGATCATTCTTTATCAACAATGAGCTATTGGGGTGATCTAGATTAAATAATCTAACCTCTGAGTCATAGTTTCTTTCTCTGTGAAGGGATGGGACCAGAGTGGATAATTTATATGATCCATTTCTAACTCTTGAGTTTTCTGATTAATGGTGACAAAATCACCAAGATGAAATGTGACCTAGAGACTACATGATACTGTTCATTTAACTGATGGGCAACAGCTGTTCACATTCTAGTTCCATTTCATACATTCACTTTGTGTGGGAACACTAGGAGAAAGGAAGCAATTTTATAGACTCAGAAGAACTGTCGGCTTAAATAAAGACTGCTTTCATGCAAGTGACACATACATGTCACCAGATTTCTGTTCTTCACAATTATTCATTGTTCAATATGTATATTATTTATCCTAATATTTTTAAAATCCTTTGATGGATTATAGTTTGCAAATTTTCCTTCATCAAACTATCAAAGTTTATGTTTTTTAAAGAAAATAATGTACTTATTTTTTATTTTTGATAGTTTCATAGTAGCCCTTGAGAGATCTTAAGTCATCCTGCTTATATTGCATCAGGATTGGAAGTGAGTGGTCTAAGCATTGTTTCAATTACTTGGACATCTGGAAAATAATCACAGTGGTTACAGTATTTATTTCTGGGCATAAAGCATTAACCTCTTACCAGCTGTGTTTCTCTAGTCCTTATAGATCTATGACTTAATTTTTCTTTCCACCTTTTCTGAGTGAGAGAAGAATGTGATGAGATTACATAATAAAAGATAATAGATATCAATCAGTGGGATAAACAGAGGGATCTTACTGCTCAAGAGCATTGTGGGGAGGGGAACAAATTTTGCTCTGCCCTCAAGTTTCTTCAGACTTGAGGCAGATTAGCAAAAAAAAAAACAAAAAAAAAAAAAACCAAATTTAATACATAGATATGTACAGAAACCCCATGTGCAGGAGAGATTCAGAGATAGGAAAGGGGGTTGAGATACTAGACATCCTGAGCAAGGGACGATGTAATGTACCCTGGGGTCTTCAAAGGGTTGTTGCAGGACTATTAGAACAGACTTTTAATAACTAAAAGTTTGCCCTGCCCTGTAGGTAGTAAAGGGAGGGGCCAAAGTTTATCTTGAGCCTGAAGTTAAAAGTGCCTTTAGCTTAAACAGTAATCTGCATATCACAAGGCATACTTTGGGATAACTCATTCTGGTTCCCCAAAGTATCTGGTAGTGGAAGATCCCCTGGGCTAGCTTCAGTAATAAGATTGAGGCAGCAAATCATATATATATATATATATATATATATATATATATATATATATATATATATTGATTTTTTACAGAGAGGAAGACAGAGGGATAGAGAATTAGAAACATCGATGAGAGAGAAACATCTACCAGCTACCTCCTGCACACCCCCTACTGGGGGTGTGCCCGAAACCAAGGTACATGCCCTTGACCGGAATCAAACCTGGGATCTTCCAATCCACAGACAGATGCTCTATCCACTGAGCCAAACCGGTTTCGGCAAATCAGAGATCCTTTAACTCTTTTCCAATGCCCTACCATAGGGCTTTGAGTTCAGATTGCTCCCTCTCGTTGGCACCTCTAAGATCCTTTTTGGACCTAGCAACTAACCTCTCTGGTCTAGGCTCTAGGAATCTATATGGGTGTCTTGTGAAGCCTCCTCCAGATCTGAATTGAGCAGGTAATGTTGCTAAAAGACTAGTCTATCCTTTAGAAAGTATCTCTCTTTAACTATTCTAAAATAGGCTTTGAGTTTGAAAAATAATCTCATGATGTTAAGTGATTTTTTTGTTGTTGTTGTTGTGAGTAGAGGGAAATTTTTTGTTTTTGTGAGGAGAGAAGTTAAGTTTCTGCTTTGACCCCTACTAAGTTTTCTTACTTAGGAACCTTAATTGACTTTTCAAGGGTTTCTTAAGATCCCCTGCAGCCAAACGCCTTGTGGTGTCTATTTTAAAACCATTTTCTAGACTGTCCCTAACATGTAAAGAATCTCTTAGTATTCAGCTCAGTCATATCTTTAATAATATCTACAACCTAATGTGCTGACCTTTAGTTCTTTCTTGAGTCAGTTTCTCATCAGGGCACAAGGGGGAGCTCTGGGATCAGAGCAGCAGAAGCAAAAGCTTGTTCTGAAAAAATTAGAATTCTCTTTAGCAGCAGGGCCAATAAAGATTTGCGATTTCCTCCTAATGGTAAAGTGAGGGCATAGGTGGGGGAGTGGGTGGGGTGGGTGGGGTCAATGGGGTGATAAGAACACCTATGTAATAAATTAATCAATAAATAAAAAATAAAAAAAGAGAAATGTTTACAAAGCCAGATACTTAAGCTACTTTTGAATAGGACTTAATCTACATTTCTTGAGGGCAGGGGCTTTAAGTTCCCGAGGAGAGAGAGGAAGGTGCTACCCTGTTTCCCCGAAAATAAGACAGTGTCTTATATTAATGTTTTTCTCCCAAAGTTTCGCTAGATCTTATTTTCAGGGGATGTCTTATTTTTCCATGCGCTAGGTCTTATTTTCAGAGGATGTCTTATTTTTGGGGAAACACGGTAAGCAGGCAAATGCCTTGAGAAGTTTCTCACACCGATCAAGAAGTCTCAGAAGGCAGACTGGCAGATAGAAAAGGATGCCCCCCCCCCCCCCCCCCCCCCCGCCCCAGAATCTTGGCAAACCAGCCAGGCAATGGCAGTGTTGGCAGTAGTAATGTTGGTTGGGGCTCTGTGTCTTGGTAACCTGGGAAAATGTCACAAGACACCCCCCTCCCCCCAGCCCTGAGAAAATGAGATGGTCTTCACAGACAGTGGATGAGGCAAGAGAAAAGGGAAAATGTGTGTTCTCTGCGTAGCTCATGGAGAATTTAGAGAGCAGCAAATTATCGGGACCGCCTGCTAATCTGCAGTTGAATCACCAGCCTGTCTGTTTGGTTTGGCAAATGCAGTTGGTTTCTAATTCCACAAAGTGTCTGGAGGGTGCGAGACATTTTAGATAAAGACTTAGCAGCATGATGTCTGTGCTAGACGAAATCTGAGAGCTGGAGTGGACGTTTGAGATTATCTACTGCAGCCTGTAGCTTGGCCAGAGAATAAATTGCTAACACAATAGGCCACTAATATCCCCAAATAGATGTCCCTCCAGCCTCTGTCTGAAAGGCTTTCCAAACCTCTAAGCATGATTGCAGGTGGTTAGAGGAATTGAAGGCTCTCCTTTCATTAGGAATAATTCCACCGACGCATTGTGTCCAAAGTGCTTTAGAAAATGAGAGATGTCTTTTAGTGAAAAGGCTATAAAAGAGCCTTATTAGAAAACAGACAGAGGGAACCAGTGTTAGTTGGATAATCGAAATGTCATAGCACATTGCAGATCCTTAAGTCAGACCCATTGGCTATTCACAATGGGAAACGGGGAACATGCACATTGGTTAGCTATCAAGTGGCATAGTCAGGACGGACTGATTTCCTGACCATGTTAGTTGCTCTTTCCATGCCATCTTTTTATTCCCCTCCCTCTAATTCCTTATAGGTAAAGAATTGTAATGTAGGACACTAAGCAGAGGCAACTATCACACTTATCCAGGGATAACTCAACTGATCTGCTTGTTATAGGCGCCTTCCTTTAATGAGTCAACTTTCCTCAAACACAGTCTTCTTTATTAATATTGTGAGTTAGAGGAAAAATCAGCCTCCTCACTCTCTCAACACTTACCACCATATTTAACTGCTTGGGTAGTTTATATATATCAGTCTAAAGTTATTTTGCCAAAACCTCCTTCAGATTCCAGATTTATCTTCATTGTAGGTGTAGCCTCTGAGGGTACTGTCTCTCTGAAAAGGGGCGTTTCTCAGTCCTGCCCTGATGGTGCTCAGGGATCAGTGTGCCAGGGCTCATCCCACAGGCTCTGATTCAGAGTCTGTCCAAGTTCCTGGATGCTAGTCTAGTGTTTTCCTTTGGTCTTTGGGGAAGGGCTGTTAAAGCCCAAAGTCTTTCCATTTTAAGTTGTTAAGAGCAAGAGAATAATGATTCGTTTAGTGAGTTCCTTTTTTCCTTTTTCCTCTATATATGGACAAGTTATAGATAATCTAAATCTGTATAAGTTAAGTAAAAAAAAAGGTAATAGAATTGAAAAGATTAAAACCAAGTATGGTCTTATAACATTAGAAAGTAAGGACACAGTGCTCATCCATAGGTGTAAGTTTTTTGTCCAATTTCTTCCCGCACTCCTTACACCCCCCTCTCCCTCCAGAGGACAGTGGTGGGGGGAATCAGGTGGAGGGGAGCAATGGGGGGAAAAAAGAGGAACATCTGTAATAGTCTGAACAATAAAGATTTATTTAAAAAAAGTGAGGACACATATAAAAGCATTATGTGCATAAGCATAAACAACTAAAACCCATTCTGTTAAAGAAATGTAAATACTCTAATACAGAATTATTAAAATGATACAGTTCAGGCATTAATGAGTAATCCTAAGAGATGTATATTAAAATATCACAGAACAGTCATAACACTGTAGGATCAATTTTAAAATAAGGCTGTAAAGTTTTGACAGGTATTTATTTCACTGAAGAAGATATAGAGTCTATAGATAAGAAGGACTAGGGAATGTCAGTTAATGTAGTTGGCCCACGTCTTGATCAGACGCTGACTTGTGGTTATCACCCCAGGGTAAGTCTTTAGGAAAGAAGACTGGCAGAATTGTCTATCACTGAATGTGAGAGCTGTGGGTCAAACTCTCTTACATTCAAACCCAGTCAAAAGTGATTTATGCTCTTCAGCCTTAGGGCAAATGAAATTGGAACACGATGCAACAGCATTGTCTGGACCGTGCCAAGGTGGGTTTCTGCCAATGACAAGGCAAGACTAGAGCATCACCCATCCCAGAGGATGTCAGTTTTCTGACCCCAAGACTGGGAATCTTAAGAAACTTACCAAAGCCCCGCCTGAAAGAAGTTTAGCAACATTAGTCCCCTCACATCAAACAAGAAATGTTCTAAGCGCAGGTGTCGGCAACCTATGGCTCCAGAGCCCCATGCGGCTCTTTTGAAGCTTTGCCTTAGCTAGGACAGCAGGGCTGACACTAGCAGGGCCGATAGCAGGGGTTGGGGGGCGGGGAGCTGTATCACTTACCTCCGCCGCCTCTGGCGCTCCTGGCGCTCTGTGTGTGTGTGTGTGTGTGTGTGTGTGTGTGTGTGTGTGTATGTGTGTGTGTGTGTGTGTGTTTTTCTTCAGAAACAGGTTCAAGTGGCTCTTTATGTCTTAAAGGTTGCAGACCCCTATAAGGCACACAAGACTGTGGCCATTCCCCTAGTTCCTGGGACTAATTCCAAAAAGAAATATACTGACAAGGCATTTGTTTTAACTTTGGATTTTGAATGAAGCTTAGGCAAAACAATTTTACACTGCTTCACCAACTATCCAAACAATTAATGGGAGGTTGAGTGTTAGGTCATCATAGTTCCAAAGAAAACAAGATTTGTCTCCATAAATTCATAATATGAACCAAGCAGATTCTTCTGTGAGTACAATGATTCATGTGAAAGAGGACACTAATAACTCACAGCTCAGTACAGTTATGTCCCAGGAAATAGATTCCATTTTAAAATCTAAGATATAACTTCCCAAAAAGAGATTCATCTGAATTCTTACATGTTGCCAGTGCCATCCTGGTTGGTAAGGCAATCCGCAAATCAAAATAAACTGGAAAATTTCTTCCTCACTTATCAATAAAACAAAATCAAGATCCACCTGGTTGTCCTTTGAATATAAGATGGTCTCTGTACCTGGAATTCACACCACACCTGTTCATCCTGTAGAACTCTGGTCTTGTATGCCCCAGCTATCCACGCCCTAGTCCTGTCTCTCAACATTTACTCACTGGTTTCTATGGTGATTGCATGGACCAAAGTGATAAAGGAAGCACAATTAGTGATACCTCTAGAAAGGAGGGGGTAGGAGGTGAAGATAGTGGTAACTCAGGTCTTCAAACGGAAAAGTATTCCACATATTGAGCAATAAAGTGTTTATCTTAGTATTCACTTTTTGTTTTTCTCTTAGTAGGAAAGAAATATTTTTTCTCTTGCATATTTTGAGAGAAAGAGAGAGAGAGAGAGAGAGAGAGAGAGAGAGAGAGAGAGAGAGAGAGAAAGATGAGAAAGAAACATCAGTTGGTTGCTTCTCATGCTCATTAGTGGCCCAACTGGGGATCAAACTGGGGATGCAACCAAGGTATGTGCTCTGACCCAGAATTGAACCAGCAACCCTTCAGTGCATGGGACAGTGCCCAACAAACTGAGAAATTCTGACTGGGCGGGGGCGGGGGCTCTTCCCTCTCCTCCTCCTCTTCCTCTTCCTCCTCCTCCTCCTCCTCCTCCTCCTCCTCCTCCTCCTCCTTCTCCTCCTCCTCCTCCTCCTCCTCCTTCTCCTCCTCTTCCTTATATTTTGTATAAGAACCATCAAAATTGTTACTGCTTCATACATCCTTGTTTCACAGGAAAGGCTTGATTCAAACTGTGAAACATATTTATAACAAAGGACCAAATTTGAATATTCCACATTTTAAATGATTCATTGGGTTAAAAGAAGTAAAGAATTGATTCTAAATTAAACTGCTTTTAACCTAAGAATTTCTTTGAAAATGTGAAATCTACCAAGGAAATGGCACTGAATCATTGCAGTATTTTGACACCGAATGGCAGCTTACAAAGTACATCAATGTCTTGATTTTTTTTTTTTTTTCTGTTCCTGTAGTTCTCTAGTTCTTTAGAAAGTGATGTGCATTGTTAATAGTGCTTTATATTTTGAAGTGCTTTAGACTTTCCCAAATTGTTCTTTCATTTTATCCTTTATAACCACCCTGTGAAAGCAGTATAGCAGACATTCCGCTTTTGACAAATTACAAAAAATGATATGGTGGGAGGGGTGTTGAGTCACTTGTGAAAAACACAATCACTTGAAAGTTCAGTTGGAATTGTAATTGAAGCTTTCTCTCCAGAGCCTTTTGCAACTTTGATTAAATTTCCCTTTTCCTTTGTGATTTGAGTTCTTTCTTCTCAAACTTTCATGGGCCTACTCTTTTATTTTCTGAAGATAAACAGACTCCCCCCACCCTTTAAAACTTCTCAGTGTTGGAAACGTAAAATAGAAAACAATTTGGGGAGGCCAGATTTGAGCAAGAAAGCATGCTGGTAATACTTGCTAAATGACCAGAAAAGTGGCCTTATTTTTAAAATTGCAAGTCATTGTTAAGAAAATAATAATTGTATTATTGAAGAATTTTCCAATTTTTTTCCAAAAGAACAATTTTTAGTTGCTTCTACTGATCTGGAAGGTGGGCCTTAGAAATAATGTTTAAAATTGATGTAGTGTTTATCTACTGCACTTACCTTTAAAAAAACATTTTTTATTAGTGTGAATATATATATTAATCCATTTTTACACACTGAGAAATCAAGAGTGAAGCCATTTTCCCAGAAGAATCTCTGACAATAGCGGGGCTCTGTTTCCGAAGCAGGTAGTTTACATTCCACCCATGTTCACTTAGTCTGCAGCACACAGACACTTTGGAAAAAAGGTAAAATGCAGTCAACTTCTAGGCATATCGAATTTTTGTGTGTTCATAGTCTAAGAAACATGATATATTTAATTAAGATATGAAAATTTGCCTTTTGGTAGACTAAAAATGATAGTTTTGGCATTTGAAATTAAAACTTGAAAGGATTTTTTTTTTTAAATTCTCCCTGTTACTGTGTATCTATCTTTTTTGCTTTTAAATGTTTCAGGACACCTGTTCTCAGCACCAGTTAAGGCTGAAGGAGCTTAGGGGAGGTGTAGTAGACCAGTAAGGGAATACTATTTCTCTAGTTTTACAAATCCATGAACAGTCATCCCTACTAGAATTTTCCCCAAATACTTTCTTACTTCAGTAATCTCTACACAGTAGCAGCAGGTTCATTTTTGAGCCATGCTGTGTTTATCTGCTGAGTAATAGCCCATTGTATGGATAGACCACATTTGGTTTATTTGTTAACCATCTTAATGTTGAGGGACATTTGGGTTGTTTCCACATTTTGGCTGTTTTGCATAATGCTGTGATGGACATTCATGTACAAGTTTTTCTGTGAAGATGTTTTGTCTCCTATAGATTATTATTTTTTTTATGTCTGTTTTCTCGGTATCCACTCATTACTTCCCAGCATGTAGTCCACACTCAGATGTTGATTAGGATTGGTTGAATGTGATACAAAAGCTGTCTTTATTTATAAATTTTTTTATTTCAGCAAGTGTCCAGCAGGCACCTGCGATGGGTGTACATTTTACTTCCTGTGGGAGAGTGCCGAAGCCTGCCCTCTGTGCACAGAGCATGACTTCCATGAGATTGAGGGCGCCTGCAAGAGAGGATTGCAGGTAAGGAGCAAACCTACCTCCGCAGAACTGTGTCATTGGAAACACAGTCCTTCAGTTTCACATTGCTTACATCACAGAAACTCGGATTTGAGAGCATGGCTAAAGCTTCTAGTTCCCTTAGCTACATGTGTTTAAAATCAAGTGTGGTAGCTGCAATCCCATATGCTGAGGTAGCTGAAGTTATACACTGAGCATTTAAAGACAGTGTTGCTCACGTATAGTGACTGTTGAGTGGTTCCTTTTTAACATTATTAAATAGGTCAAGGATGAAAAGTTCAGATTCACAAAACATGATGTCTTTTAAATCTTCATAATAGTGATATACTTCTAATGCTCCCCAATGGAAATTCATCTTTACCTTTTCTCTAAAATTATGATAAACTTATAATCATTTTTTAGAGTAAATGAAAAACTAAGATGCCCCCCCCCCCCTTTTTGGCTACCAAAAGTTTAACTCAAGTTTTGAAAATCTAAATTACCTTTATTAAAATATTTTTTAATATTTAATATTTTTATTCTGGAAGGTAATGATTGGGAGTTTAAGGTAGTTAGGTCACAACAGTTCCTTTGATTTTATCTCAAACTGCCTTCATCGAAGAAGTTCTGTTCAACATGTGATAAGAACATTAGAAACAGCGGTGAGATGATCCTTTTTAAATAGATGTTTTGACATTAAGAATGATATATTTTGATGTATTTGACATGTTGAAATATATGACCCCCCCCCCTTTCCTATTTGCAGCTTAATTTGAGAAATACCAAAATCAGTTAAATATGCAATTTGGAAGATACTTGCCAAATGAGATCAAGGTTCGACTGGAAAAATATAAGTGCCATTTCTAAGCTCACACATCTTAGTGTATTCCATTGCAACCACAAACAAATGGGTGTGATGCAGTCAGTGGGTATGGTTGCCTCCAATCTCTGAATAAAACATTTCAAAAAGTCTGCTCTTCCATACGCTTCACATCATACAAAAGACAGCTTTCACTGTGTTTTCCATTATGTCCACAAGCAAGGATAGATTTCTTTGGATGCCAAAGCCTTTTAATAGAAAATGTCAGTGATTGCAGATTATTGCTATGGGTTTCTTTTAATTTTTAAACAATTCCACTGCATCTCTGCCCTAGTTCCTGCTCCAGCCTTTGTAATTTTTCATTTTATATTTTACTTCCCCAACTCTATAAATACATCCCGTCCAGATAAAGTTAAAAGTTACAGTTACACAGGACAAGTATTAAGTTAAAGTTACACAGGACAAGTCCTCCAGATATAGCTGATACGAGCCAACAGAGCTGTACAACGTGTGGTAAAAGTGCTCCTATCAAATTGGATCTCAAAAACCTAGACCAGGTTCTAAGGCTGTGGTAAGCAATACGTCAGATAGTTGTAAAGATTCGAAGAGGTACTGTGTGCTCTCTAAGAGGAGTGTTTTTGAATTTATCATCTAATTTATCTCACCTTGTTCACAAAAAATTCCTACAGGCTGGAAGAATAAGCTTTTCAGCTGTAGTTTCAGGTTTGCCGATGACATGTGACCAAGTGAAGGCATAAGGCTTCCTAATTAATAAAATGACTAAGAAACAGATAAAATGACTAAGTTATAATAGATGGCTAAGAAATTTTACCAAAAGCTTCATTTTTTTTTTGATTTAGCAATTTGAGGAGCTTAAAGTTAAGCATACTGTGTTTATGGGGATCTTTTTCATTTTGAAGTTTTAGCACTTTATTAATAGGACTGTTATTAAAACGGGTACCATTTTTACTGGGTGTTGGATATTTAATACAATCATATAAACTCTTTTAATGGTCTGTTTTCCTGTTGGAACGCACCTCAGATGAAGTCAACATTTGCTGAGTAGGGTTAACATTTGTCTTTTTATTGTCATTATTACATTTAGTGATGTGTCAGTTCAACTTGAATATGTTTCTTAATTTCTCACCTCATCCTTCTCATTAAAGTAATTTACTCACACTGAGTTTAACGAAAATGTGCAATTATGCACGAAAAACTTCTTAATTTTAATGTCCTTTTTAGAAAAGAAATGCTGAACGTTCTTATCTAGACTTGGTTGAAACTTTTTCTCAAAGTAAATAAATATGATTCTTCTGCACATCAATCACTTCCTGAGTAACTGAAAAAATTGAGCATGTATATAAAATCCAATTAAACATTGTGATGTTATCCTGCAGTTATGGTATTGATAAAGTGACCAGCATACACCAGAAAATTTAATGAGATACCAGGAGCAAAAAATGTAATGCCACATGACACTTAATGTCACTGAATATAATCATCATGCATGTTGCTACTGGTCACTGCATATGTTGAAATATGTTGAAATATAATCATCATGCATGTTGCTACTGGTCACTGCATATGTTGAAATATATAAAACCAGAGCACTGTGCTCTGGTTTTTATTTTGAATCTGTTTTATTACATCTATTTTTCTAATTGCTGCTTGAGACCAAAAATATTGATTTTATACTTCACTGGTTGCAATTTGCAGGTTGAAAAACATTGCCTTATATAAATCATCATCTACTTTTGGAAGCTAAGAGTAAAACCTCGTGTGGGTAGTAATGACACAGAATAATGCTATCCTTATTTGGGCATGGGAAGTGGGGTGCTATTTATGTACTCCCTCCTTCCCCTACACCAGTCACCAAAGCCTGACAGTCGAATTGTATCTGCATGTCCAGGGTGCAAGGTCTACTCTCCTGCTCAAGGAAGAGGCTGTAAGGGAAAACATTCCAATTATAATTATATTAACCAACTAAACTTTCATTTAAAAACATGAGTCAGGAGTCAGAGATCATCAGAAATGTGAGGAAAATAGGCAAAGGATGTGTCTACATGGAGTCATTTTTATTCAACTTCCTTAGCATGAATCTGACAATCCATGGTTTTATTTGGCTCTGTTGCTTTTTTAATTCATCATTTCCTTATTCACTCTCTTCTGTATCTCTTCTATATAACTTCTATATCTCTGAGCTTCTATTATATGAATGCTGAATAATCCTTTATGCTTACAGGAATAAAGGGTTTAGCAAAGCCCTTCCTCTGTCTGATTTTTATTTTTTATGCCATCTCTGTATTGTTTTTTTTTTTTTTTTAAAGGAAACCTTATATGTATGGAATGAACCAAAATGGTGCATTAAAGGAATTTCTTTGCCTGAGAAAAAATTGTCAACCTGTGAAACAGTTGACTTTTGGCTAAAAGTGGGAGCAGGTGTGGGAGCTTTCACAGCTGTTTTGCTGGTGGCTCTAACTTGCTATTTTTGGAAAAAGAATCAGAAGTAAGTAACCTCATTGGGACATATAAGAATTGGAGGATATTTTTTGGTGAAAATTTTAGACTTAATCATTATATTTAATAATTTCTTTCAGAGACACAAGGAGTTTCTCCTAGTGAAGGAGTTATAGGAAAGGCCTTTAAGAAAGCAAATGTAAATAATTATAATTATGACAATATAGAGGTCATAGAACATTAGAGGATATTGAATTTGATCCATTTAATACAAAACAAAAATGATGATTCAGATCTGAGATCAGAAAGTCAATTTTTTTCTGTGTCTATTTTTTTTGTCCTGACATGATATCTTCTTGCCCCAACTTTTTTTTTTCTTTTTCCTTTTTTAGCTTCTTTTGAGAAGATATTTGCAAAGAAACAGACTAATTGTATAAGCAGATAGCAGCTTTATTTACTCAAGAACTCCAAGAATCTAGAGTTGAATATTGAGTCTAACTTCTGATTCGACTCTTTTAAAATGGTTTATGTGTCAGTGGGGCTGTGAAGGTTCTATATGATAATACCTCAAGACAGTTGGAATACCTGGGGTTTTCTAATAGAAAGGGGGGAGTGATAGAAATGGTAAAGATCAAATCAATTGCCTATATGATAGTCTTATTACCTAAACTTTGGAACACTGCATGGTAAATTAGCTTCCAAATACTTATAAATTAAGAAAATGCATTTAGAACTCAAGGTTTCTCTTTGTTTTTCAAAAATTCATAATTGGACAATTTAGTCCATGTAAAAGGATGATAGAGTTAACTATATTGCATTGCTCCTCTGAAATTCTGGAAAAGATTTGTGTGTAGATGGTACAAAAATGAGAACATATAGTACAATAGCTATAGGTGAGGGAAATTTGTGGGTAGAGCAAATGTACTACAAGACAGCTTAAGAAGTTTGTATGTGACCACTTAAAATAAGTACTCTTTTATATTAAGCTCCCACTTTATCTATTTATTTACTACTACTTAGACTGGAGTACAAATATTCCAAGTTAGTAATGTCAACGAACTCGAAAGAGTGTGAACTCCCAGCTGCAGACAGCTGTGCTATCATGGAAGGAGAAGATAATGAAGAGGAAGTTGTATATTCCAATAAACAGTCACTACTGGGAAAACTCAAATCCTTGGCAACAAAGGTGAGAGCAGAATTTTAACCTGGTCATACTGTGCATTTATAAATTACAGGCCATACTCACCTAATAGTCGCATTCCTGCAAGCCCTGTCATTCAGCGTGCGTGTCTATATTTCTGTCAGCATTTATCTAATAAAAATGCTCTTAGAAGTACATAAGAATATAAATACAAGACCATCCACTGCAGCATTGTTTTTGCTGGTTAACCAAGCAGAAACAACCTTAAACACCGTAAATATGGAGTTAGATAAGAAATATTCATTTAGCAACATAATGGAACACCGTGTAACCCTGCAGCTATTAAAGATATAAATAACCAATGTCAGTAGTTCCAAGATAAAGTAAAAATAACCATAGACTGTCACATTTCTAATAAATATACATTTATGTTAGTATTTGCATAACAAACTACTGACAGTAGTTGCTTTTTGAACTAATGGGTGTCTTAGTCTTTGAAATAAGACATTTTTGTCATGTTTGAATTTTCACAAAGATAATGTATTATAATATTGGAAAAGAAAATTTTAATAAAAAATCTCATGTGCATTTATACTTTCCTTTAAAAAAATTTTATAACAAGATTGCTTCATGCAGAGAAAATAAAAGTTATGTAAACTGCTGAGGTAGCAAATGCACCTTATCAGATGCCAGCACATTTGTTGGCTTTGAAATGATTACCATATCCATACAAATAACATGAAGCCTTTGGTATTATTTGTAAACACATTTTATTCATGTTCTTCACTATCGGCTTATTCACTCAGGATTAAAAACAATCAAACAAGAAAATATGCATTTGAAATGATTTTCAGGAGGAAGGACAAGTTGCAAAAGATGAATTTATTGAAAGTATTTTAGTAACCAATTCCTTTTATTCCTAATTTAACCACATACATATATCATAGAGGATCACTTAAAAATAAAATGACCAAGCCATATTCCTCCTCTACCAATGATTATTTAATTATTCTTTCCTTCTTTTTATTTATTTTTTAAATCCTCACCCAAGTATGTTTATTGATTTGAGAGAGAAGGGGGAGAGAGAGAAAGTAAAAGAGATAAAGAAAGAAACATCAGTTGGTTACCCCCTGTATGCACCCAGGCCGGGGATTGAACCTACAAGGTAGGGATATGCCCTGACTAGGAATTGAACCCGCAGCCTTTACGTGTATGGGATAACTCCCCAAGCCACTGAGACACACTGGCCAGGGCTATATTTCTTTTCTTAATATGGTAGTTTAGGAAGGATACTATTATTGTGGAATAATAATAATAATATGAAGTGCTTGTCAAGAATGGATATTTTACCCTCCTTTCAAGCTAACAAATGAGCCTGCCACAATATCATAAACACTTTAGAAGACATGAGATTCCTATCCAGGGACCAAGGATATTTTAGCACTCACAGCAGAAGTGCTAACTAGAGTATCAACATTTAAACCAATTCCCAAAGTTTCACTTGCCACAGATTTAAGGAGAATGGCAATCAAATTTATTGTTAGAGCATCTGGTGGGTATGGTAGGTCCAGTAATCAGTTAAGTTTAATGCACTTACAACAGTTTCAGAGATTAACACTAAGGCATTTTTCCTTCATGGAAAGGTGACAGGGTGCCTCTGGGGGAAAAAAAATAAAGTTCACTAATGTCCCTCCATTTCCCCTACCTTTTACTGTCTAAAGGACCTCCTCACAGTGCCTTATTATCAGATTGTTGTTCTTCTTCTGCCATAACATTAGTTTTTCCCAATTTAGTAGCTAAAACTTCACTTTATTTATACTCATCCCCTTTTGGCACCTAAACCTATGTTCCAGAACATGCAGGTGAAAGAGGGACAAGGGCATTTAAAAAAACATATGACACTGAGTGTGTCCCCCATCTTTGTCTATGTAGGCATAGGAGGACTTGATGAGCAGTTTATTTAACCATGTGGTCCATATCCTTTTGGTCTGGGATCATGACAATCCAATAAGATAATACAAGTGGCTAACCCAGAATTATATTTGAATCTTCTAGGCTTTTTCTGGAGGGCTATCACCCTAGGGGTTGGGGTAAATAAGGACACATCATACTTAGGAGTGTTCAAAGCAGAATCTTATCATGTATATAACCTTATGTACCCTCAATTAGTATTTTCCCCCCAGGTCTCCTTTCCATGGAGTAGCCAAGAGAAGATGATGCTTTTCTGGGGACAGCCATATTTAATAACCACACTGCTTTACTAAGGTGTGTGGACCAGGAAGAAGTGAGGGAGAGAGAGTTGGAGATATTTGAGTCCATTTTTGAGAAGGCCATTCCAATGCTCAGTAGCACTATATTTCTTTAGATGGGAGGCCCACTAAACACCTTGTTCTCAGCCCATTACTGGGTAGCTTTTGTGATGAAAAGGACACCATTGCCAGACTTTCAATGGTCCACAAAGCCACCAATATTAAGCAAATTTGTTTCAAGAGCGATAATGGTATGGCTGGAGTTAGTGGATCATACTGGAGCAGAAGCACCATACCTGAACCGGTGTCCTAAGTGGGTGAGGTACCTCTCTTAGCCCAGAGAGGTGGACAGAGATCTGGTGTAATCTATTTGACAGGAAAACCGGTCAGCTTTTGGCCTGCATCCCCAGTCTGGCATGCGGTGGTAATTTCTGCATTAAAAAAAAATAGAGTACTTCACACTCTGACTGTACAGGCAGGTTCATTGCTATGTTGGGCAGGATGATGGATCCATGCATCATTCTGGGAGACTGTCTGGTGCATATCTATCAGATACTTAGTTCTATTTGGTATTTTTAGACGATGGGACCTTAACTGTGGGCATCTACATGAGTGACCCAGATGATTTGTTAAGCACCTAAGATTTGTTTTCAGGGTTTGATACCCTAGAGAAGGGTGACAAATATACCAGCCTATAATTTTTCCAAGTGTCAGGCCAAACAATTTACTGACTCTTAATAGCTTAAGTTAGTAAAAATATAACAAGTCCTATCAAGAGATGCCTTGACTATAGCCATGAGAATGGCTTTGGGTTCTGCCCAGGGGCTGAGCGATCGTGTAGGAGGTTTTCAGTTATGCATACCTGGTGCTGAGATCAGATAGCTACATCAGCTCCCTGGGGTTTCAGCTCAACCAAACCATCAGCGAACCAGGCCCAGACATACAGTAGGACATCAGTGAATTGAGAGCTCCGTGGAGCTAGTGACTTTATACTGACTGGTGAGATAGAGAGTAAAGTTTTCCCCAAAGGTTGTGCTGCCACATTTTAATGTGGGGATTAGATGCTGCTGGGGCAGACCAGCTGTATCCTTGAACACACTACTTATACTTGACAAGTGAAGCTTATTGTGCCCTTTCAACCTTGTTGATTCACCACGAATGGGACTGTCAGACTTCAGAGTCACAAGATGTGCATGAAAATGGCATTTCATTTGGACAGAAGCTCAGTAATGAGCTTGTCATTGTTTTTTAAAAGAGCAGCCATGTCAAGGAGGCGAGGAGTCTAAAACCCCAAAGGATGTTTCTGGGGAAAGCCTGCTTTCCATCACCAGAATTTCTAATGGGCAAAATCTTAATCATAGTGGGTTGTATCACAAAGTAGTCATTAGGATTGTGAGGCCACTAAGGTAGAAAAACATGACTTAGCTTGTTGGGCAGCTCTTGACACAGACTTGGTTTGGATCCACTTTGTGTGGTAGTGGACATAAAAGAGCAAGTAAAATACTCAAATGACACCCTACTGTCTCCAACTGCAAAGAGTCCAGTGAGGTGCTGCTTATTTTTCTTCGAGTGCTGGCTAGACTTAGCACTGTGGATCTGCCCCCATAGCCTCAAGGAACTTAACTTAGCAGGTCCCTGGATTCTGCTGGCAGATGTCTGATAACCAGGCAGTTCTGTTAAGACAGCTTTCTGACTTGACATCAACAGGAAATTATTCCATAGAGTGACAGCTTTGGGCATCAGAAGTGGTATTTGTCTACTCATGGAATGGCTGACTGTGCAATCCTGACTCACACGTTTGTTGCAAATGGCAGTGAAGTTAGGGCTGCTCTTGACCAAGGTTAGCTCCTCTGACATTTATGAGGCAAGAAAGCAAAATCATATACCATCCATTCCTACTACATTCAGACATAGAAGCAGGGACAGCAGCATCTTGAATGGGCATGCAGAACTCCTTGCACTAGGTCACATTATCTTCATTTCCCCACTACAAACCTGTTTAAGCCTGATTTGTTGAATTTCATATCAATTTGCTGATTTGGGCTTGATTCACATATTGTAGTCTTTTTAAAAAATAGGAATCCACCTTATTTCTTGCTCAAATATCAAAATATCTATGTTAATGTGCTGTTTTAAAGTAAAAGGTAGGAAAAATGCCCAGACAGGGTGATCATAGTCATTTATCAAGATTCTATTGGGTCAATTTAGCATTATCCAGTGACCTTCCACCTTGAAACCCAATCTGAGGCAGTAAGAGCTCAAATATTAATACTAGTCCTTGCCACACTGAGTTTTCCTATAGGAATCGAAACAGGTCTCTTTCGCAGCCCTCTTCCTCTCCCCTCCTCACCCCCAGAACATGTGAATCAAATCTTCTAAAGGAAAGGTCACAGAGTCTCAGCTTTCCTTTCTAGTACACGGCAATACCTGGCCTTTCCTGTAATATACTTTGAGCTCCTTGAGGGCAGACATTTTGTATTTCTAAAGTCTAGTCCTGTTCTTGTATAACACAGTGGGTACTTAATAAATATTTTAATTACCAATGGTTATTTAAAAAATTAAATCTGGTAAACATGAGACTCCAGGCAACTCTCACAGAGCCAGTGAATTCGAGTGCTGAGATTTGCAATCTGCTTTCCCCGGGACCTGTCATCCGTGCAAAGGCTGGGCAAAGCCGTAGGTTGGTGTGTACACTGTGATTTTTTTTCTATAACCCTGTTCCTGTAGCCTGAAAGCTTGTCTGAAGTCTTAGACTTCTCCACTCAAATGAGAGACAACACCAAAGCAACCTCTTTCTTCCTGACAGATTCTCAGTGTCAGCTTTCTATTATTTTCTCATTTTACTTGTCTACTTTAGAACACATCCAGTTGCACCTAAGGCTGGTCTGCCTCCTATTTCCTTTATTTAAAAAATAATTCTTGTCCTCTTTTTATTCCCTTCAATAGCATAGTTCCTTGTCTCATTCCAACAGCCTTCAGAAAGCTTTTTCTGACTTTAACAGCGAAAACATTGCACCTCTTATTTCTTTTTCTCCGTTAAAGAAGAATTACTTATTTTAATAGATTACGTTTTAAAATAATTTTTATTAAATTTATTGGAAATGACAGTTAATAAAGTTATATAAGTTTCAAGTGTATAATTCTATAATATATCATTGGTATATTGTATTGTGTGTACCACCCAAAGTCAATTCTTCTGTCACCAAATATTTTGCCACTTTTACCCTTTATTCCCCCTCCCTCGCTTTCCTGCTGATAACCACCATACTGTTGTCTATGTCTATGAGTTTTTATTTGTTTTTCCTGTTTATTCATTTGTTGTTTTCAGTTTTATATCCCACATATGAGTAAAATCACATAGTTCTTGACTTATTTTGCTTAGCATGGTATTCTCTAGATCCATCCATGTTGGCACAAATGGCAGTATAATAGACTACATTTTTAATGTGTTATATAACAAACACCAGCAGTGATATATTTGAGTTAAAATTTTTTGATTTATTATCAAAGAAGACTTGTTTTTAATATTTTGGCATATATATGCCAAAAATATTTTCTTAAAACAAATTACCTATGTCTTTGTTTGTCTTCTTTATTTCTTATATTTAGCCTATATTATCTTGAGAATATTTAGTTTCTGTCAGTTCTAGTTTGTCCACAATTCACATGGCAAGGTCATCTATTTCAACACCCAGGTCAAATGTCCCCTTAGGAAGATCTCAGTGGGTATTCACAAGAATAACAGCTACATCTTTTGGTATCTATTGCAATCACATGTTTGCTCCTATCTTGGATTGTCTGTCATAATCTTCTGGATACCAAAAGTATCCTTCAGGGCAGGCCTGTTGTCTGTTTTATATTGGACACCCTTATTTAAATGTAAAATTCCTACTTATGAGTGGCAGGTACCTAGATTAAAATGACTGCCAGAACTTTCCTTCTGGACATGTAAGATCCTAAAATCTTATTGGAATTTGAATGAGTTGACTTTGTTTTAATATATTTCTTTCATAGGAAAAAGAAGAACATTTTGAATCTGTTCAACTAAAATCCTCAAGATCTCCAAATATCTGAAAAGACTGTACTGTAGCTTTCAGACTGATGAATAAAGAAACCTGCTCTCTAGTTTTACAGGACCATAGTCTATAGCCCACCCTCGTACCCAGAATTTTGGTGATGTTGCAAAGAAGGCCATGCTGCTGAAAAGGGAAGGAGGTTGAAATGTTTGATTGCCTTACCACATGGTCAAGTATCTTGCCAAAAATAGGAAAGCAAATGGTTTGGGTCTCAACTGAAGAGGAAGCTCAACTCAGGAAGAGATTTATCTGTATATACACACAACTGAGAGATTCCAGTTATATACACTTAACTGAAAACCAAGGTTAAGCCCACCAGTGCACTATTGATGCATGCCATATAATTAATGGGTAACTTTTATTATTTATAACTTCTATATAAAAAGTGTGCTATGAAGGGCAAAAAGTAGCATATACATTGTGATCCATTTTTGTCCTTTCTTTGTTTATATTTTAAGGAGATTGGAAAACTTTTTAAAGGTATAGTTATTTCTCTCCCAATATTTATTTTCCTGACAAGACCTTGAAACATCTTTTTTTTTTTTTAATTAAAAATGATGAACAAAAAAAGACAATAAACTTTTTGTTTTTTTTTCATAGGGCATCTTTCTTGACTTCAGAAGCCTAAGTAAGCAGTAATATTTTAGGAAGACTCAGCATGTGCTTGGGTTATCAAAACTTATAATTGCCTTTGAAATTCCATTCTTGTTGGAACTGGTAAGATGAGCTTGACTAGAGGTGTTGAAGGAATATTTAAAAGGGGAAAGCAAGGAGAAATCGTGACTTTCCATTAATACAAACAAGTAATACTATCATAGAAGTCAAATGGCTTAAACAGTTTATGCAATGCTTAAAGCATGATTTAAAATGAGTGGGAAAGCCTGTTTATCAAAACACCTTGTAAAGTCATGAAGAAGAAAGTGGGATGACTTGTGTACAAGTACAGATAACTATACAAAGGTATTGGAATAATTTTGTGGCTCCAGAAAATAGCAGAGGGATATTTGCTCTTGGTCAATTATCAAGAGTTATCATTCTGCTACAGGATGTAGAGGATTATGACTTCACAGAGTTGTGTTGTTGTTTTTTTAAGTCAATGAGGAGGTATTCAATTTTAGAAAATTGCTTATAATGGTATTCATAAGAAGAATGTGGTTATACCATTAACAGTCATGAAATAAGTGTTATCATTCTTATTCAAAAGTGATCCAGATAATTATGATATTTCCTATGATGAACAGATTGCTAGTATTAGCATGACTTAAATATTCTTTATTGAAAGCAGTTTGAAGTTGGATTTGACCAATTTTGTTTTAGAACCGACAGAAAGGGGACTTTCCTGTCCACTGATGATCTAAGGTGCTCTGGTTTGTTTCCAATCAGCAGTAATCTTTATAGACCTTAACCATGTTTTTAAAAAGACGGGGGTGGAGGGGTTGGCTTCGAGAAGCAGGGCATGTGAGCAGGGTGTGTTGAATGTTTTGCCCCACATCTTTCAATAAGGTATGTTTTGTAACCTTCCATTTAGCAGGTTATGTCTTTGTTTTTGTGGAACGTGGGAGAAAAATAAAGAATTGTATTTATCTGGCTGGTGGGTAAAACACTGGATGATGCTGTTATTGTTGAATGAATGTGTGTTTTGTGTATATATTTACTAGATTCATGGGTATATTGTCATTATTTTATTGTTGGGTGTGAGATTCAAGGAGGGCATCACTTAGTATAAACCTTTTTCATGTTTAATTTTTAAAAATCTTATGATAAAGAAGAAATTATTTTGGCATTGCTTTTTTTATCTTACTAACAGTGCTGATGAGTCTGTCTCCATTTTTGGTCAAAATTTAAACAGAAGAATGAAAATACATTTGAAATGCACCCTTTTAGAGGACCCTGGGCTAAGTTGTACAGCTGGACAGAGTCAGGAAGTTCCCGCACAGTCACCTGTCCCTCTCTCTTCATCTTCGGCTGTGCTCAACAAGCATGTTCCAAGCCATAGAGATAATTGGGATTTGCTCTCAGGTAGCTGCTTTCTTCTCCTGTCACCGGACTAAAATCTCTGACATGTCAAAAATGCCTTAAATTTTAATGAACTCTCTGAAAATGTAGTTGGGATGGAAGAATTTATTTATTTCTAATTTTAGACATTAAGTAGATTCTGTCAGCTCAGTCCCATCTTTGGAATGGAGCTACTTTTTTTGTCTGTGGATCCCAGTGCTTGTCAGTTTATTCCAAGCACTAAAGAAGCATGGCAGAAAGGGTAGTATGGGGAAACTATTCCGACCAACCCTGGCTATAAAATTCACTTTAGTTTTAGGTTTTGCCTTTGCAAAGCTCAGTAGAATGCTGAAGGGCTTAAAGAAATTAATCATGTTTCTATGACTTTTAATTGACATTTATTGTTTCTTCCCCCCCCCTGAAGTGGTAGAAGTAGTTATTTCTTATTTTCCTAAAAGGCACAGTTTTGAAGCCTTAAATACTTCATTAAGTCAACTGCCACCTATAATATCTCTTTAGCGCTCTGTCAAAATATATTTAAATCAGTGTTCCACTGGATGAGACCGTGTCTTCTATGGATAGAGTATATCATGCCATTTAACAATGTCGAGCAATTTGATATGTGTTCACTTGTTTTAAAAGACTGAATTTTATTCTTGTTGACTTCTTTTCCTCTTTGCTTACTAGCAATTAAGTCCTTTCCAGGATTAAAAATGTTTCATAGTATTTTTGTGTAGCCTTTCATCATTGTTTTCTTCCCAGGGAGAAAAGGCGTTTAAATGGTTATGTGGAAGAATGCTTGGGTCCAGTCATTTACTTACTGGGGGGTCCAGGTTTCCAGGTGGTGGGTTATGATTGACTCTGGTTTTCAAAATCAATGTGATCAATTGTCCATTGACCTATATCAATGATACTTTCTGCGGTTCCCAGCCATTCCTAATGGGAGACTAATTTCCTGTGAATTAGGGTGGGAGGATGAGTTCACTGGCAAGTTTAAAGTCAGTGTGTTGCTCACATTTATCTTTTTACATAAAAGATATGGAGAGTAGATCTTCAGAGAACTTCAAATATCCTCACAAATATTTTATAGTAACTTGAATGTTTTCTCCCATATCATAAATTAAGGTTGCCCTAAAGAAAGAGTCTCAAGGGGAATAAATTTAAAAAAAATATAAACGCCTCAACATCCAACTCATCCCTTGGATGTTAAAATAAACTTCATAGTAATTGGCTAGAGATTACACTCTGCTGGATTTTATTTCTTTTAGTTTAACATTTCAGATGTGTTCATTTTAGGATCATCAGTGGAGGAAATAAAAACTTGATGATGGGGACAAATAACTGGAAGTTAATTGATATTATTATTGTAATTGTCTAGGTCGAAGCCAGCAAACTTTTTCTGTTGAAGATCAGAGAGTAAATATTTTTGGCTTTACAGCACATGTGGTCTCAATTGCAACTACTCACTGCCATAGCATCATGAAAGCAGCCACAGACAATATGTAAATGAGTGGGTGTGGCTGCATTCCAATAAAAGTATTTATGTACACTGAAATTTGAGTTTCATTTGAATGTCATTCCTCATTTTAAAAAAGAATATTTTATTTTATTTATTATTTATTTTTAGAGAGAGGAAGGGAGATAAAACATGGATGTGAGAGTACAACACTGATTGGCTGCCTCCTGCACACTCTTACAGACTCCCCTCCAGGGATGGAGCCACAACCCAGGCATGTGTCACACTGGGAACTGAACCAGCAATTTCTCAGTCCATGGGACAGCACCCAACCAACTGAGCCACACTGGCCATGGCAATATCAATCCTCTTTTTATTTTCTCTTCTAACTATGTAAAAGTCGAGAGGCATTCTTAGCTCAGGATTTGACCCTTGAGCTCTGGTTTGCTGACCCCTGGTTTAGATTACTAAAACCCACAAGCAAAACTGTCCACTCTTTAGGAGCTTCCACCTCAAACATTTCTCAAGTCTTTAGAAATGTTCCAAAGGAAAATAACCTATTGCCCTCCCTAGATGATCTAATCAATAAAGACAAAGATAAAGCCAGATACTTAGATTCGGAGTTCCTCTTACAGTTCTTGAACTTGGTTATGGTCATCTGTCAGCAACTAGTAAAACCAAAGCAAGTGAACTGCCTCGGAGTAAGCCAGCAAGATGCATTTAAAAGCCTTTTCTCATTTGTTGCTGAGGTAAGTGGATTTGGAGATAATATTCAATTTTGTATACAGATCCATTTAAAGTAACCATTTGGAAGTGGAGGGTATTGGAGCTTCAGTGCAGAGTCTTAGAACCCCAGCCTTGGAGAGGGGCTTTGCATTCAAACAGGGCACACCCCCATCCATACACATTTACCAAATCCTGTTTTAAGACTTACAGAGCCGCAAAAGACACTTAGGATTCTTTTAATGATTGGTGTGGGTTAAGAGAGGGATCTCCAATTTTCTTGAATAAAATGTCCCAATAAGGCTTTTAATTTGCTGTATTTTTTTCTCATCTTATTCGTAACTCTTGGAAGAAGAGCTTTGTCTAAACTATCTTGTGGATACTGGTAGATTTGGTGTGGAGGGGGGCAAGATTTCCTTTATCTCAGATGGCGTGGGTTAAAGAAATGAGTGAAACCAGAGGGAATTAAATAAATCTAAACTTCCTGTTACAGAAAAGAGAGATATTTGTCTTATCCATGAGTCTGGGCGTTTGTTGGTAGAGCTGTGGTGGTTGCAATCCCCATAGGTGCCCCATCGTCCCGGCGCCTCACCCTTGCTGGCTGCTCCATGCTTGTAGCCTTTGCTGATGAGCACTGAGGCCAAAGTTATCACCAGCAGGTAAGTGAGGAAAGGGGGCTACCCTAGGGAAATGTGGAATGGAAGACCGAACCACCTCTTTCTTAGCCACTCTCTCAATCTGTCTTCTGTGTAGTCTGCAAACCAGCTTGCCTAACATCTTTGTATTTTACTATGATAAACCTGCGTGGACAAGAGAATAGATTGGTATTTAAACTAGAAAGGACACAGAGCATCTCAGAAACTGTAAACACTTGGAAAACCAGTGATAGCCTACCATATTGTTAGGTTCTGATATTTTTTTAATGACTGGTATACATCATTCTGCTTGAGTTCCTTAAATTCAGGAATTTTTGCAAAGATGGATCAGCTCAACCAGTTTTATATTTTGGAAGGATGAAATGTTACTGGAGTAAAAAAAAATCAGTACCAAACCTATTTGTTTGAAATAGCTTATGTAAAAGAGATTTTTTTTTAGCAGCTATTTTCCATGTATACTCTGAATATTTTTTTTAAACATTATTTCTAGGGATCACATGTTAGATGATGCACTTTGAAACTGGAAACAAGGCTTGTGCTAGGGCAGGAGAAAATGACGAGAGCTGTCAGTTAGTGTATTGTCAGTGTCCAGGCTGGAAATAGAGTGGCCAGAAATCAAAACTCAGCTCTCACAAACAGTTTTCCCAAGATGCACCCACAGCCTAGTTATCTTGTTTAAAAAGATCCATGATCAATTTGATTGTGTTAGGCATGAGCTGTGCCTCTGAACAACCCATCTGATATTGCCTGCCTCAGACTGTCACCTTCCATCGGTGGATTGACTTTATCTTGAGCAGCTGCTCATTCTGAGCACACTGATCTAGCACTCCTGTCAGTTTCAGTCACAGCCTAAGTCTTTTTTACCATCCAGCACTATTAAACCTGTTACCCAGTCTCCCCCACTCACTCCTGAAAATCTTATTTCAGTACTAGAGGCCCGGTGCATGAGATTCATGCACTGGGGGAGCGAGGGTCCCTCAGCCCAGCCTGCTCCATCTCATAGTCCGGGATCTCTTGGGGGATGTCCGCCTGCTGGCTTAGGTCTGATCCCCCTGGGCCTAAGAGAGGCAGTCAGACATTCCTCTTACATTCTGGGGCTCTTGCAGCTAGGACCCCCTCACTCCTTACCACCCTCCTGCAATGGAGATAGGAGAGGCTTCTGCTACCACTGCTGTGTTCACCAGCTGTGAGCCTGGCTTCTGGGTGAGCAGCACTTCCCCTGTGGGAATATACTGATCACCAGAGGGAAGCTCCTGCATTGAGCATCTGCCCACTAGTGGTCAGTGCATGTCATAGTGACTGGTCATTCTGCTGTTTGGTCGATTTGCATCTTAGGCTTTTATTATATAGGATGAGAATTCAGGGCCTGGTGAGTACTGTTGTCTTTGAGCATCTGGTGCAGTTTGAATGAATTGATTAGTTGCTGATTCAAATGCATTTGGAAGGAAAAAGAGAATCTCTAGCAACTGACTTCTCATTTTGTTTTCTTTAAGGCTAGTCTCATTGGCTTTTGCATACCTGCTCATCATTCCTGGGTGTTTTGCAAATAGTATGAACATGTCTCTATGAACCAGGCCTGGGTTATTAGCCTGTGGATCCCTCATATCCTTTCTTTAAAAAAAAATATATTTTATTGATTTCAGAGAGAAAAAAAGAGAGAGAAAGAGATAGAAATATCAATAATGAGAGAGAATCATTGATTGGCTGCCTCCTGCATGCACTTGAGTCCACAATCTGGGCATATACCTCAACCCTGGAATCGAACCACTACCTCCTGGTTCACAGTCGATACTCAAACCACTAAGCCATGCTGGCCAGGTGGTAATCTCACTGTCTTCCTCAGCCATAGTTCCCTTACTAGAATACTCTCCATTCACTATGCTTCTTAAAGGCAGGAACGACATCTTATTTATCTTTCTCTTATTCATGAGTTGAAGAGTGCCCCCCCCCAAAAAAAAATTGTCAATATCCTATCTTTGGAACATGGGAAAGTTACCATATTTTGAGAATGGGCCTTTGCAGATGTCATTGAGATGTGGTCATTCTGGATTATCCAGTTGGGCCCTAAATCCAGTAACAAGTGACCTTGTTAGAGACAAATGGAGGAGAAAACAGACAGAGAAGGCAATGTAAAGACAGAGGCCACAAGCCCAGGAAGCTGGCAAATACTGGAAGCTAGGAGAGGTGTGGACTGGATCCTGCCTAGAGCTTCTGAGGGGATGGGGCCCTGCCAGTGCTTTGATTGTGAACTCTGGCCTTCAGAACTGTAAATCAACTTTTTTATTTTATTTTATTTTATTTTATTTTATTTTATTTTATTTTATTTTATTTTATTTTATTTTATTTTATTTTATTTTATTTTATTTTATTTTATTTTATTTTATTTTATTTATCTTTATTGTTGAAAGTATTACAGATGTCCCCTTTTACTTTCCCCATTGTCTCCCTCCACCAAGAGGATAAATTTCTGTTGGTTTAAGCCACTCAGCTTGTGGTAAGTTTGTTACTTAGTTGCAGAAAGCTAATGCATTTCTATCCGTGGCACCTGGCACAGGACCTGACAGGTAGTTAGGTTCTTAATATATTCTTCTAAGATAATAAATGATCTGTGGCTGAAAGGCTTACAAGGAAAAATGGGTAAGAACAAGCCAGTTTTAGCTTAGCTATATTTTCCCCTTTTGCTCTTTTTTTTAGGTTAGTAAAATAGTCAAATTTAGGGACAAGCTTGTGTGCCCATGCATTGTTACTGGGACTCTGGAAAAGCATTGGAAATAATATATACTGCCTTTTCATTGACTGACTCATCTATGAAGGGTGAGAGTGACTTTCCAATGAAATGACAAAATGCTTTTCCAGTCTCCTTCCTACTTATTAAGATTGTTGCTCTGCCTTCAGAGTATAGGAAGCCCCTCCTTCTTGCCTGGAAGCCCCTTTTGGGCAGAGTCTGGGCTACAGTACAGGTGTGGCTCAAAGAAACCAATATGTGTCTTGTCATCTGGCCACTGACATGGCTGGATATTTCTGAATCACTGTGATCCGTGAAGAAATCCAGCTCTACTCATAACTCTCTAAGGCCGTGGTTGGCAAACTGCAGCTTGCGACCCACATGCAGCTCTTTGGCTCCTTGAGTGTGGCTCTTCCACAAAATACCACGGCCTGGGCGAATCTATTTTGAAGATACGGTGTTAGAAGAAGTTTAAGTTTAAAAAATTTGGCTCTCAAAAGAAATTTCAATCGTTGTACTATTGATATTTGGCTCTGTTGCCTAATGAGTTTGCTGACCACTGCTCTTGGGTAACAGTGTGTGTTCAAAGTATGTGTAGACATGAAGAGACATGATGTTAGACAGTTTCTTCCAATGGTCTGAAGTCAAGAGATGCGAGTTACTTGAAGTGATTTAAAAAGCACAGACCACTATCCACCATGCTGGAAAACCGCCATGGTTTTATTCTCAGTAGCTTCACATTAATACAGATGCTTTTTATTTTGTGCTGAGAAAAACAGTCTGTTACACGTAATGTAACTTGAATATACAACATAGAAACTCGTCCTAAATTAGTTACAACAAGTACCTACAAAAACTTCATAGGAAAAAAAGTTACCTAATATTGCCACCAGAGTTTTTAGTAGACGGACCCAGTCAGACCCTGTCACCAATGCTCAGCTCTGTAAACAGTGGTTATTTCCGTATTCTGGGGAATCGTTAATATCAGAGGCAAGGGACTCAGCCTAAAAAGTTCTAGCACATCACTATGTACTGTACAGTCCTCAAAAATAATTTATCGTACTGTTTCTAAAAAAAGGTACTAGGGTTGTTCTTTTGCTCTGTTTCCGTAGTCTGGAGCTGCACGTGAGCACTTTTGTCTAACAGTCTAAACACATGAGAACTGAACCGCAATTTCACAATCACAGAGAAGAGGTGGTGGAGTCGAGGACTTCACGCCCATTGCACACCGTTGGCACATACGTGCTTGCCGAGGCTGAAAAAAAAAACAAAGCAGGAGAGGAACTTCAGTGTTAGGCAAGCGGGCAGCATAGGTAAGGCACAAATCATACCAGGCACTCACCATTCAGTTGAAAACTGATTCTGACTTGGCTTTGGAAAATGCTAGAAGATTTCATACTGTGGTAGGCCAATTTTCTAAATGCACTGCTCCATATTACTTTTCATCCAAGTATACACACCTCCATTAATGTCATACATCTTGAAGAGAGTTTATCAGCATACTCATTGTTGAAAGAAGCCACTTGTGGGTTTAAAATGAGCCCTGGTGATCTATAAACTGGCTTGAACACCATGTGCAAAATTGAAAGCTCACTTCAATTTTCTCCCAGATTGTTCAATTAAGTATGATTTTCAATACCTTAATTAATTTTTTCTCTCTGGGGAGGGATGCCTCTTACATAGTTCCACGGGTCATCTGTGAATTCCTCTTCCTAAAAGAATGGTTTGCTATATTCTCATTGTTCTAGTGAATAATCTCAATGGAAACCATAGCAAGGACTGGTGTCCCAAGAACTTCAATTTCACGATAGTTCTCTGAAAGGAAGATATTCCAAAGGGATGACATGCTTGTTAATGACAATAGTGACAAACAGTGTGAGTCTAACGTGGGTATAGATGTTATTTCTTTTTATGACACTTAGTTTTTCAAGATACAGCTCATAGCTCTTGTTGTTTTGGAAGTTTTGTTTTAATGAGAAATCTAGCTATAGCTAAGATCTACTTCACTCTTAATATCCCGCCCCCCCTCCCCTGAATGAGCACAAAAGCAAGGAGCCCCTTCCTTCCGTGGAATGAAACTAGGTAGCCAAGAGAATCAGAGATAATCCTATGTTACCTTTCAGAGCTATTTATGTCCCATTCTTTGACCTGTCCATCTGGACATGCTCTGCCTAGAAGGAGCTGATCTTCTTGGCTACCTGACCAAGCCCAGGTCAAACCACTCAGCTGTCCCATTCCTTAAGGACTTATCTCTCGGTTAGTAATCAAACAAATGTCATGTTAAAGTGTTCATGCCTGATAGTGGAAATAGTCTTGCTCTATAGAATTGCATTTTTCATTGGAATTTCGTTAGACATGAAGGAGAAACTAATTATGAAATCTGACATTACATGGCATTCAGTGGAGGAGCATTAATCATATTTGGGGGACTGAAGTCTTTCAGCAGGCCGACCACCAGGCAAGCTACAGACTCAATTTTGCAATGATTACTTGGCGAGGTAGGTGAAGACATCTGTGAAGTCAAGTCTGTGTGGCTGTGTAAGGTCACAGCGGAGTCCTGTGGCATGCTAACTCCTTTAGAGGTGCTTCCTTTTTATAAGTTCTAAGATAACCTTCAGTTTTCTTTACAATATGAGCCCCCTGAAAGCTATAGTATCTTTGGGGGAGGCTTGAGGAAATGGCATTATCTACATTATTTACATTTCCTGAAACTTCTACCACAAAGACATTTCACACAATGGGTGCCTGATAAGTACTTGATGGAAGGTGATAATGATAGTAATTCCAAATGTGAGGGTTTCTTTATATACTTTATCTAAATCTAGTTTCATCCAAGTTAGGCCAGGTAGGAGAAAGAACAAGGTGAAGACCAAACCACAATTCATGGGCCTCTTAGGACAGCACGTTTGGCCGTTTCATATGTGCCCTTTCTGCAGCTTCTTTGTATCCAACTGTCTACATGACATTTCCATGTGGATGTTTCATAGGTATTTCAAAATCAAGTGTCAAAGCATAACGCTTGTTTCCTTAACTTGTCCCAGTTTAGTTTTCATTTCCTCAGTGAAAAGTCTCAGGATCCAGCCAATTACCCAAACCAGAAGTCTAGCATTATGCCCCCTTCCTTCTTCATCCCTCCTCCTATGCCAAGCCTGTCTCCAGGTTCGGTCATCTCTGTCTCCACATCCAACTACTCCTAGTTTTGCAGCTAACACCCCGGGCCAATCCAGCAATATTTTACTCTTAGTGACTGCACTAGCTGCACCACCGGTATCTCTGTTTCCCTGCAATAGATGATCTATACAGCAGTGAGAGCGAGTCAGTTAAAAATGACTACACACCTCCAATGGCTTCCCTCTGTGCTCTTCTTAACTCTGGTTTATAAATCCCAGGGTGATTCCCATGCCTCTCTTTCTGCGTTCACCCAATTCTAGGCCTCTCCCCCACTCTACCCCCGTTTTTGCTTTTGTCCTCAAATACAGCATATCTGTTTCTCATCTGCAGGCCTTTGAAGTAGCTGTTGCCTCTGCAAGAATGTTTTTTCTTCTCTTAATCACATGCCTGGCTCCTTCTTGCCATCCACATCGGAAATGTCACCTCCTGAAAAAGATTATCATCAAGCATTCTAATCTAAAGTAGCTGACCAGTTACCCTCCGTCATATTACCCGATTTTAAAACAGATTATTTTTTGCTTTTTTATTTATTAGTGTCTTATACTCTTGACTAGAAACTACAAAAGGGAGCTCTGCTTGTCTTTTTCATGACTATATCGATATTGCTGATCACAGAATACACACTCTGTAAATATTTCCTGAATGACTGGTTAAATGGTTGCATTTCAAAGAAGGTGGAAACCAACAGAAGTTTCAAGAAGGAAATAACCTTTTAACTTGAAGAAACGACCAGCAAAGGTTAGGCCTGTGGGTAGCCTTGTGTGGGAACAAGTAGGCCCTTCTGCTTCCCAAGCCACGTCGTGTGGCATTGTCCATCAACCACCCTTGCAAAGTGGCTCAGGCTGTCAGCATCCTCTAGCAAGCATGCTGCCTTTGACATTTTGACTAATCTCTTCATCTTTCCCAGGATCAAGTTTTATTACTTCTGTGAAGGGTTTTCATTTTCAGAGATCGGAGTATGAAGTGTAATGGGGGCGGGTTGAGAAGAACCTGCCTAAAATGCCTGTCTATTGGACTAGTTTAATACCCTCTCTCCCTGGATTTTTAAAGACTGAAACCTACTGTGCTATTCCCCATACTATTATGGAACTTGCACTGCTGTTCTTAAGTATGCTCTTAGAATCTGCTTGCTCACTGCATTCTCACATCTTAAAATTGGGTGTATTTTGACTAGGTAAGCACCACATGCAGGGGCTGCAAAGGTAGTTGCACGAACGTCCCTAAGTTATAGCTTCAAATAACCTTCTCCTAGACATCCCGGGGACATCATTATGAGAGTTCACAAAATAACTGAATCATCTACCTGCTTCATAAGGATATTAAAGGGAACAACCTATGTTACAGTGACTAAACTCTTTGAGAGGGAGATAATATAAGCTCAGGGTTTTCTTACAAAGTATAATAACAGCAAAAAACACTCCCCAAACTCTTGCTGCAGCTGTTTCTTCCCCAAGCACATTTTAGTTATATTGAAGAGAACTGTAACTTGCATTTCCCTGCTTCTCTTTTACTGTTTCATCTGTAGCTTTTGCCAGTGTATTTTATTATGTAAAAAAAAAAAATCTCATTTTGTACATGCTGCTGAATATAATAGAAAAAATTACTCTTTTATGAGTCTAGTCTAATCTCAGTTACTTTGTCTTTCATAAATATTTCACATATGTCTCCCATATTAGTCTCTTTGTTATTCCCCCAGGTAATAAAAGATGTGTAAGAGCCAAGTACTATGTGTGTGTTTTCGATGAGCTTTTGCTATTATTCTGATGAAATTCTCATGAGATTTTTAATGGTGTAAGTTTAGCCCATATTCTTAAGTGCAGTGAAGCAGGTTTCTATAATAATCCTTTTTGTCAGAAATAAAGAGGCTGAAGGCTTGTTTTTGGCTTTTCTAGGAGTGGGGGTTAGTTACTCTAGACTAAGATGGTACTTTTTGCTATTCAAGTTGAAAACTGAAGATAGCTGAAAAAGCACAACTGTTGATTACAAAAGGGCAATCTGCACCCACCAAAAAGCATATTTTGCTTCTCAAACTTGGTAAAGCATTGGAACAGCCAAGTGGCAGTTCTGTCTCCACTATGAAATTCATTTCTCTTATACCAGTAATGCTTGCGCCGGCCAGGCTTTGGAGAAAATGGTCTTATTTTTTTTCAGGGAATTAGGCACTAAATCAATGCTAACCATATTTATTTAATAGATTCTTATGGATGCCAAGTGTTAGTCAATTCAGTGGCTTAGATTTGGTTCCTGAGAATCAGTGTGTTACTATAACTGTGTAATATATCAGACTTGGAAAAGGAGAAAGCAAACATTGAAACAGAGACATTCAACCAGTTTGTTCCCATCTGTTCCATTTCCTTGTTCCTAGTGATCCCCCCAAATTTTTTTCCCTGTCATGTCAGCTTGTTTAGATATTTTAATGCTATGGTCATAGAATCCAACTTCTATCAGCTGTTTGTTGCCTTGTCTTCCTGCTTCATCAGTGAACCTGTTTTCTTATTCACCACCTTGATTTTACTTGTGCTACGGCCCCTTGGTCCCATTCCAGAAGTTCATCTGCTGATTAATATATGTTGTCTAGGCAGATGATGACACTACTAGTCCCTGATTTGGTAGCCTGGCTATGTCAGAGGTTTCACTGTGGAAGGAAAAATCCATTGTTAAGAAATGTGGGCTAGATTCTCGGGGGAATGATCTTAAGCTGTTAACAGTGGATTTAAGAGGAAATTATATTCCTATGATGTGGGAGAAAAACCTACGCACTCATATGTGGAGTTAAGAGTTAAATGCAAAGACTTCTTCATTCAGTGATTTATTTCTTGTGAGACAAGATTCATGGAAAGAGAAAATTTGGCATGGACCTTTTTTTTTAACCCATGATGTGATTTAATTGGAATTTCAACAGAAATCCCACTGATATCCAACTATACCCATCAATCCATTGTTGCCACTTCACACTGTCATGCTTTCTTTCTAATCATGTATATCTTTTTAAAATTTTTATCCTAGCCTCCCTTACTCAAGAAGCACAAACCCACGCTGGATACAAGTACCTTGTAATTGAAAGGACTCAATAATTTTTTTTGC